TAGAGGACCTGGAAGGAAAACGGACTTACCCACTGACAATGATAGAGATCGACAAGCCTTGTGGGAATGCTCCAATCATTCAAGCCGACGATCTGTGCCAGTATGACCACTTGAGTGATATCGAGGTTAGCACTGCCCCTTCAACAACCATTGATGTACTACTGGGGGTGGATAACACCCATCTCATGATCTGGGAAGAGTTCATACGTGGTCAGAGATCTGATGACCCAGTTGCAGTTCGTTGCCCCTTGGGATGGTTCATCCAAGGAGGACATTCATCCAGTACCAGTCGACTTTCAAACTATGTGAACGTCTCTGCTATCGGTCCCATAGAAGAATTCATCGGGCTAGAGACTATTGGATTGGAACCCAAGCGGTGCAGATGTTCATCAGACCTCCTAGACAGGAATGCTACAGAAATCATGCAGCAAAGCATGTCTCAACTTCCAGATGGAGCCTATGAAGTAGCACTTCCATGGAGGAAATCCCCTGAGAATATCCCAGACAACTATGAGTATGCCGTCAAGAGACAAAAACATCTTGAGAAGCAATTTGCTAACAAGCCTGAAAAGTGGGAGGTGTACTGCAAACAAATGAGAGACCAGCTTAAGAGAGGCGTTTCTAGACAGGTGACCGAGGAAGAGTTGAGACAAGATCGAGCTGCAGGAAAGAAAATGTGGTTTCTTCCGCATTTTGCTGTCACAAAGGACTCGTCTACTACCCCTGTCAGAGTGGTATATGATGGGAAAGCACGATTTCAAGGACATGCACTTAATGATTACCTGATGAAAGGGGAGAATGCAAATTCTGACCTTTTTGAAGTGGCCCTACGTTTCAGAGAACAGGAGGTAGGAGTCATAGCAGACATAAGCAAGATGTACCAGGCTATCAAAATCAAGCCAGATGACGCCAGATTCCATCGTTTCATCTTTAGAGAGAATCCTAGCCATCCAATGCAGGTGTTTGAGCTCACTACAGTAACTTTCGGGGACAAACCATCTCCAACGGCTGCCATCATCACACTCCGACATGTTGTCCACGAACATGCACCGCATGATGAGGGACTGAAAGAAGTAGTCTCCAAACAGTTCTACATGGATGATTTGAATGAGTCCGTACCTGACTTGAAGCAAGCGATCGAACTCAAATCGAAACTCACAGAGATCCTGGGGAAGGGCAAGTTCAACTTGCGCAAATGGCAGTCCAATGAGCAGGAGGTTTGCGATGAAAGTGAAGATACCAAGTCAGCTACAATACTTGGCACCAGGTGGAATCTGGAGAAAGACACTTTGAGCGTCAAAGAGGTGAGACCTGACAAGGGTATACCAACAAAGCGTAGCATCCTGAAGCAGACAGCATCCTACTATGATGTGTTTGGAATACTGTCTGGGATACTAGTTCGGCCAAAGATCTTCCTTCAAAAGCTATGGCAATTGAACCTAGATTGGGATACACCCATCAACCCCCAAGGAGAACTCTGTGCAGTTCTAGATGCCATAAACAAAGATCTGGAAGAAGCAACAGATGTTGAAATACCAAGATGCCTGATCCCAGAGAAGTTCAAAGGAGTGAGACCGTTACCCGAGGTGTCATTACACGGTGCAAGCGACGCGTCCGAAGACGCAATGGGCATGGGAGTGTGGCTCAGGTGGTCACACCCAGAAAGCACTGAAGCAGAGCTGTCCTTTGTATGTGCTAGAGCAAGGCTCACACCTCTGAAGCAATCGAGCATGCCAAGGAAAGAACTACAGGCCATCCTTCTGTTGTCGAGACTGATGTGTACCATCAAAGATGCACTTCGCTTCAACATAGCATACTGCAAAATATGGACTGACAGCATGACTGCCATCAGCTGGTTAAGGGGTCAATCTAAATCTTTCCGTGCCTATGTTGCCTACAGGGTGGGTGAGATAACAACCAGATTTGATCCTATCATGGACATCGCCTATGTGCCATCGGCCCAGAACGCCAGCGACTTGGTGTCTAGAGGAGGAACTGCAGCCGAGATGAAGCGGGTGATAGATGGGCCTGATTACCTGAAACTACACCCATCGCTATGGCCAAAGACACCAGAAAATGTCCCGACAGACCCAAAGGATGCCGAGAGAAAAAAGTTTCACACCCGGAATGCAAAGTCATTTGCGTTGAGTGTCAGTGCAGTGTGCAAGGCATCACCAATCATTGAAGCTTCGAAATTCTCCAGCTGGCCCAAGCTCAAGATGGTGACTGCCAGAGTATTGTCGGTGAGGGATCTGCCAAAGGACCAGAGGTTGAAACAACTCACAAATCAGATTTCACAGTGGCCGTCCCGTAAGCTTGTACGAGAGGCTGAGTTATATTGGATCCGTCACGCACAGAGAGAAATCAATTTCCAGGATCCAAACATCATGAAGCTAGACCCATTCTTTGACGAGGAGACCCAAGTGTTCCGTGTTGGTGGACGAATGGACCGCGCACCAGTATCCTATGATGTACGGCATCCTTACCTTCTCCCAAAGAAGAGCCACATCAGCTGGTTGATCGTCCAAGACTCCCATGCTCACTCTCTTCATGGGGGCCATCTACGCACAGCCACTGAGGTCAGAAAAAAGTACTGGATCGTGGGCGACACTGGCATCTCAAGACGTGTTGTCCGTGCATGTGTCATCTGCAGAAGACACAGAGGTAAACCTGTTCAGCAGAAGATGTCGGACCTTCCAGATTTCCGAGTCGGTCGTTGTTCACCTCCGTTCCAGACTACCCTAGTTGATTACCTAGGACCAGTGAATGTCAAGTTGAGTCGAAACACTACTACGAAAGGATATGGTGCAGTCTTCACGTGTGCAGTGACGAGAGCTGTTCATCTGACTTGTGTGCCCGACCTATCCACTGATGCCTTTCTACAAGCCCTTGAACGCTTTGTGAGTATCAGAGGGGCTCCATCCATGTTGATAAGCGACAATGCAACCTGTTTCAGGGGAGCTGATAATACCATAAACAAATTGAACCTGAAGTTAGACCATGATCGAGTGAGGGAGCGCTGCCTGAGATACTGTGCAGAGTGGCGATTCGGACCTCCTGGAGGACCTCACCACCAAGGAGCGGTGGAACGAATAGTTCAAGAGGTGAAGAAGGGAATGCGACATCTCATCAAAGCTGACAGACTGACATTTTCCGAGTGGGAAACAGTCTTTTCGCAGATTTCCGGGCTCATCAACAGTCGTCCCATCACAGCTAAATCCTCATCACCGCTGGATTATCCACCATTAACCCCAAATCACTTTCTCATTGGAAGAGGAGACCTCTCCTGCCCTCAGATTCCTTACGATGACTTCAAAGGTGATTTGAGAAAGCGAAGAGAAGTCTGCAACGCCATGGTAGATGGTTTCTGGAAACGCTGGATGGAATGCATTCGGACACTCTCTCCGCGCCAAAAGTGGCAGCAATCAACTGAGAACCTAGAAGAGAGCGACGTTGTACTCATCATTGGTGACAATAAGGCTCGCGGCTCTTGGAAGATGGCGGTTGTCGTGAAAGCGTACCCAGGGAAAGACGATCTTGTGAGGATTGTAGATGTCAAAAATGCGGATGGTGTAATCGCGAGAAAACCAGTGACAAAGCTCATCCTCCTTATGAAGAAGTCAGAGCGAGATGATCTAGAGTGACTCAAACTGATAGAAAAGTTTGTCGAACATTGACTTTTTAGTGACTTTAGGTTAATGTCTTTTTTTGAACATTTTTCTTTTTTAGCCGTGACAGTTGATTGTTCCCAGAAGATGAAAGCACATCGGATTCCTTATATTACGAACTAAAGACTGTAATTGAAGGACTGTTAAACGGAACACAATTGAGAGTTTATATTCTCCGTTGAATTGTGACATCCCGTCACTTTTAAGGGGGTTGGAATGTCATGAAATGACATGATTTATCTACATGATTTGTTTTAACTGTAATTTATGATTGTTTTTGTTTAAGCGACTGGTCAAGAAACTACGTAACATGGTATCTTAGCAACATTAATTGAAGAATTGCGCACAGTTTGCATTATACACAGCAGTTTGCTAATCGTCCGAGTTTGTTCGTAGCAGTTATTTGCACCAGTATGACTTCCAGATTTCATTATAACTCCTAAAGTTTCACCCTACACTTGAAGGGTAACCAACACAGTTGTTGATTAGTTTATTATTCACTACGTTTGTACACCACAAGAGATTAAAGAAGGCATCAAGAATTCAAGTTACACGCCCGAGTTATTCTCTTTATTGCAACAACGTGTCAAGTACAGGAAGTCTATATTGAGTCCATCACACCCGATATATATTTGACCCAAACCCTGACTATACAGAACATTTTAGATCAGGCCGTGCAATACAGTTAACAAAATGCTTACAGTATGTTTGTATTAGTTACATGAGAATATTTCTTAATGCATTCCAGGAGTCAACTGGTTTCGAAGGATTCATCATAAAACTTAACATTATTTAAGCAAGGATGCTATAGTACATATTTTTTCTCACTGTAGCAAAAAGTAAAATAATGTCAATTAGCCTGATTACAAAGCTTATTTTTCATAAACTAATTTGATTTGTGAAGTATTGGCTAAACCAATTGTTCTATCCACTCTTGAATGGCAAAGTGTGTGTTGTTATTATTATTGTTATATTTTTTCATTATTATCATTGCTATTATTTGTATTATTATTATTATTATCATTATCATTATTATTATTATTGTTGTTATCATCATCACCACCATTACCTATTTACTATCATTCATTACCATCATTGTCATTGTTATTAAAGTAATAAAGTTTTATCTAAAACACTTGTATTTAATTTAACCTGCAATATCAAAAGAAATGTAGATTTTTAATTCTGGCAATTCATTGGAACCAGTAATTACATTCATTAAACCCTTAAACTTGTTCAAAATTAAATCAAATGAATACAAAAATATTAACAGTTATTGCTCATAAATATTAGCAAGAATTATTTACAAAGTCAAGCACAGTAGCACACACATTTTTCTGTACAAAAATAATAAGTCATTGTCAGACTTCTTAGTTTTATTGTGTGAATAAAAGCAAAAAGGCAACAAATTGTTGCATGCATTATCCAATATAATATACAGTTTCGTGGATAACAACACACTGCGGTAATGGGTCTACATCACTAATAATTGAGATAATATGTATGTGTTGTCTACTGAAGACAAAAATAATGATAAGAAATTGAAAATATTCTATATTATTATGTGCATATCAATTGTCCCAGTAAAGAACAATATATGATAATGCATTTAGATACTGTACCGGTATTCTAAAACAAAAACTATATTAAAAACTTTAAATTGTAGGTTAAAGATTTTTGCAAAGTTGATCATTAATTCTTCTACTGCAGTAGTACATCAATATATGGGAAATGGGTACTATAGAGTACAATACCACTGACAATTCCCATGAAACACAATTCACCACTTAATGTCACAGGCTCCTTGAAACAGTTACGTCAGAGTAAGAAAATTATATGATAAATATTTACTTACAGTTTAAACACCAGTTTAAAAAACATTGAAAAGTCATTTTCTTCCATTTTCCCCTATACACATAGATAATTCATATCAAATATGAGTTTATCTAAAAATTCTAGCTGGAAAAAAGAGTTTTGTCATGCCAATGTTTAAAATGGGTACTCCTTATATTTGAAAAAAAAACACTGTAACAGAAGCATATTCTAAAGGCCTTGATCCTTCAGTATATGCACCATGAGTAACTTAATGCCCCACTGCACTTCTTGTAGCTACTTGCGCCCTCAATATAGCAAATAATCTATAAGCGGTACCTGTTGGTCCCATATAAGAACAAAGTATTATTATTTTATTGTTAACTGAGAGCTGATTTGATGAGATAACCACCCGTCAGTGACCATACAGGGACTCCAGGGAGGCCCTCCTGGCCAAAGTAGTGCAGATAGGCTTTAATTTTTGTCAAATTCAGACTGGATGAATTAAAAGTTAGCCAAATTACTAGATTGTATAATCAATCCCACTTGATTAAGGACAAACACGAATATGTAACTTAATTACCTCCAATTAATCAACAGACACAGTAATCTCATCTGTTACTTACTATAGCAACCTGCAAGTACAGGGGGGTAAACATGTGACAGCCACTAGCACGCTAAGCTGGGCCTCCATTATGATAGTTGCCTTTTATCTATGTATTTATTATATATTCAGCAATTCACAAAAAATATAACAATGTAAATATGAGTAAAAAAACATTAATAGAATGTCAATTATAAATGCACAATCTTCCTGGAGGTCCTCTGAGTGCATCAGTTGGCTGCCGGGGAAGAGGAAAGCAAACTAAATCACTGTAACCGTAAAGGTCCCTCTTCCCGACCAACTGGTGCACCAAGAAGACCTGTAAAATATAGCATGATGGTAAATAAAATGTATAACATTTCATAAACAAAACAACTAACAAAAACAAAGCACAAAGAGAAAATCAAACTACGATACTGAACATAAACATGAGGAATTAATCCTAGCTTAAAAACTTTTGCATAAAATGTCAAGTAGGTAAACTGAAACCATGTAGTATAAAACTGAGAAAAGAACAAAATATGAGAACATGTAGTAGCACACTGACAAGAACGTCTAAAATCATGTAGGTTGACCAGTATATAGAAGTAAAGTAAAACATGGTAAAGGAAATGAATAGATACAAGTCGTTTCCGCTGTTCATAAACAAAAATGTAATACATTAATTTGTACAGCAGTATGTGAAATCAGTTGGTAATAAATATATGAATGATTATAATGCATTGTGCAAACAAAACATTGTGTTCTAACTCCAATATGAATTTTGTCATTATTAGCATTATTATTCGACAGTATGCTAACTATGCTTTTAAATATCTTATTTGTATTGATTAGGTGGTAGAATGCCTGCTCTACAGTCAGCAGCTGCCATAGAGAGTGACAGTCGCTTCTATGTGTGGGGAGGTTTTGATCTCATGGAGTACAGGTGCAAAGATGACCTTATCATTTTAGAAGAAGGAAGACGGCGTGGAGCGACAGGTGCACCAGTTTTCGACATTAAATATGTGCCAACGACAGCTAACATGGTGGCATCACGAAGAGGCAACACAGTTCCAGTTCAAAAAGGAACAGTTCCACATGGTATGTTATGCAACATTAACAAAAAAAGTCAGATATTTACAATCTATTTACAAGTATAAAATCATATTATTATGAGATGGCCGGGACAGTTCAATTGTTATTCTGAATAAGTCCATGCATTTAGAAAATGACAAAACTAGTGAAAAATAGCAATTCAATTTGAAATACTCTTATCACATTTTCATACAATTAAGTGATATATGAAAATAACACGGCCCTAACCATACACATACGTACTACAAAACACTACACCAAAATTTACATTATATACAAATAAAGCACTTTCAATTTGATGAACCATGTTCATGCATCAATCTGATTCAAATATTACATGAATTGTACAGTCGCACATGATGAACCAAATGTAGGCCTACAGACACAAATTCAAACTTTTAAAGGTCATACATCTAAAACCAGAAGCAATAAAGGAAGTGTTCCGTATGTGAACAGTTCAAGACTGTCAAGAACTTCATCTAGTGTGAGTAGGATACTAAAATGCTTCAATTGAATTGTTTGGTTGCAACCCAGTATATTTAACTGTATTGTGCCGTCTTTCTCTATTTTTGTTTACTTGTTTATAATAGCAAGGACAGGGCACACTCTAACTAGACTAGGAGAGACCAAAGAGGCATTGCTGTTTGGAGGAGTTATGGAACAAGAAGAGCGGAAGAGCTTCAGCGTTGAGTGGGAATTAGCCTGCAGAGATGGGACCTTCTATATATTAGATCTAGATACCTTTATATGGAGGAGAGTCCCTGTGCCATCAGCTACCCTAGCCCGAACATATCACACTGCCGAATGCTTGGAAACGGTTAGAAGCTTTGTCATTGCATTTGTGGGAGGAGTGATGCATGACAAGAACACCACCACAAGAATACCCATCAATGAAGTACTCTTGCTAACGATGAACTCCCAAGATACAGACACTGCAGTTCTTTCTACTGTTACGCTTGCCTCCGATGGTCCCAGTACACCAGTCCCGTACATATCATACCATGCAACAGCTCAAGTAAACTATAACATTCTCGTATCCGGAGGATTTCAACTGCAGCACAGTTCTGACATCCCTAAGACATCAAGACATGCATCCTCCAGAGTATTTATACTCGACATCGTCGGGAAGAAATACAAACTCTTGCCTAAAACACAGAATAACAATCAGTTTGGCACAGCTGGGCATGTTCTATTAACCCTGGCACCTGACTGCATCATCTCTGTTGGGGGTACCTCAAAACAAATCTCTATGCTCTCCGACAGGAAATACAAGCCAGAGAAATGTGATTTATTACCATCGTGTACTATCGCTGAGGCAGAAGGAACTGTGGAGATACAATGGGTACAGTGTGAAACACCACGATGTGGAAAATGGGTCCATGTCTACTGCCTAAAGCTCAATAGTATACCAGAGATTTATTTCTGTCCACATTGTAAGAACAAAAATGATATTTCAGTGTGTGTTTGCAGCATTCATTTGAAAACATGCAGAATTCATTTGAAAAAATGCACTATTCCAAACTGAACAAATGCTGTTATGGTACACACACACTGATCAAACAGTTTTTGGTCTCAGAATGAAGATGAAATTAGTGAATGTCTCTAAAATATTCCAAACAGCTATCACCCATGTAAGTTTTAATATTATACAATCATCGAGTTCTATCACAACAAGCGGTAGGGCCAAGGAAGTTTCAACTTGTGCCTAGCAGTAGTTCAGATGGTACATAATCTTACTGATATATTACTGTACTAGCAGTGTTATATTTCATTTTCATTTTCAGAGATAAATTCATACCTTGCTAAAAACTGAAATTTACTTGATGCTTGTAATGTCTAGTGAGGCCAGGAAAAATGCATTTTGTTATCTCAGTAGTGAAAGTATAAACTCCTGTCCTTCTTTTGCCTTAGTCAAAGCAAATAAAATACAACATGAGCATAAAGCGTAAAAATTTAAAGGGCAAGTCCACCCTGATTATCTTGTTGCTTTGTATGAAAGCAGAAAAATTAGAAAAGCAAATCAGTGAAAGTTTGAGAAAATTTGGACACATAATAAAAAAAAAAGTTATACAATTAGAGAGTAAAACAAGTTGGCAACTCTGAGTGATGTCACTAATGAGCAGCTCTCCATTCGTTTGTACACAAAATTTCACTAATTTTAATTTTTCTCCCGAGAATTTTTTTCTTTAGACCTGCGCTTTGTATATAATTAATAGTCAGAGCTATACATTTATTCATGTCATTTTACTGGTTAAAATCTATACATCCCTAGACATTTGAGAAAAAAGGGAATTTGTAAAATTATGCAAGTACATGTAGCCCAGCATCTTTTTTAGTCTGGGTATACTGCTTGATGAAATATAAAAACTACAGGAACCGACTTCAATTGCCAACAGTTCTACCTCATAGCCATTATTATTTTGAATGTCTCTGACAAGGGACGAGTATTTATCAACTTTATATTGATGGGCCTTATCTATTCTAAGTTCAAATTGGACTCTCAGTTCCATGATCATGAATTTTATGGTTATTTTCATCATAGATAAAAAAGGTCAGGTATTAGTGTTTGTTTGGGTTCACACCCTACAAGACACTGGGATTGTTTAGAGGGTGAGACAGGGAAGTAGCCGTTTAAATAGGCAATATCGTGAAGGTTTGTTTTTTTATCGGGCGATATACTTTCTGTTATGATCGACTTCTATTCTACAAAGCATTTTAGTACATTGTTATGGCGCCAGGCATATCGCCCTTGAGATAGAAATAGTGTACAGCAATTAAGAATATGGTTCAGTGTCTCAACACAATCGCAGTACCTGCATTTGTTTGTTGCAGATTTGCCCCATCTCAGTAAATTTGCCCTTGTGTTTTAAGGTGTTGCTAATAGCATTTACAAGAAATTTAAGAAGTTTCACTGGCAAATTATACATAATGCTCTTCCAAATCATACAATTACTTTTTAATGATAGAAGATCTAGAAATTTCCCTTGAACTACTATCTCTTTAACATATGTATGCCAAATAGTAGAGACTTCTTGAGTTAGGATTTGTTTTGCCTCTCCTTCCCTTTCTTTGAGTGTTGGATGCCCTTCAACAGATGTGTGAACCTCATTGCTTTTCACAATTGTGGACTTTTTCCTGACCCATTTCGACTAGTGTTGCAATTGAGAATCCAAACAATGATTCAACAAATCGTCCCCGCTCACCCTCCTGGATATATGTATGAAAGAGTATGGTATTGGTTAATATACAAATCAGAAATGGACAGGATGTCTAATCTATTTGGCATATATATGAACGAACGCCAAAGTTCCGAAAGTCAAAGTCACTTACCGGTAGATACATTTTCACAAAGCCTGGATTTTTATAAGGGTCAGTTGAAAATAATAAAATAACTGTGTGTCTCACAATTTATCAAAAGCATATTTATTGTACTGAGATATTTTAGCCATTTCTGAACCAATATGAGGTGCGTGTAACAACTTTTGCTATTCAGAAACAGCGTTTCAATATATGTACATATCAAACCACACTGTACAAACGTGATTTGCGGGATGTCGCGTTTATCAACTCATGATTTGAAATGAAGGCCATGCCTCTGTGCAGCTGCTTTGCGCCCTTTGACCTAGTAGGAAGCATGAGGTCAACTAGAGAGTGCGCTTTTTTCATTTTCGATCCAAGTACTAATACTACTATGATCTACGTACTTGTAATATTGTCGCGTTCTAAATATGTTTAAAAAGTCTGGCTTTTTTTTAATCCTGTTGTCTGCATGTATTTGTAAACATGCAGGTAGTAAATGTTCGTATTCTGAACATGTCTTTGTTGGTAATATGTGCTCAACGATGGGATGGGTACTCATGCTGCTGCTTAATTACTGCACGAGATATGGGCTTATTTCATACATTTCCATTTAAGTTCCTTTGAATATCTGGTTCTGCCCATAGAAGCAGCAAACACCCGAGTTCATTGGCATCCCAGTTTGAACCTTTCGCCTTTGAACTCGCACTGGCAGACATAATTTTATGGTAATTGAAGGTAAAGGATAATAAACAGCGATAACTGGTCGATATAGTTGAAGCATGTTATCGCACAATACGTTAACAATGAGCAATAGACGAAGACAAAGGCACGCTTGAAACATTACTCGGCACATGGCGCGTGCTATTTCCGAACCGGAAATTAGCCTGGGAAGGTTTGAAATATATATATGTGTTTCAAAACAGCTTTGCATTAATCATCTCTCAAAAACGTGATTCTGGCTCATTCTCACATTCAAAACCTTTTTCGGCATTTCATTATACACATCTGAAAATGTGCTTGCATTTATCATCATGCAAATTTGCCTGAAACACGTTTGAAAAATGCAGATTCTAGGCCAGAAAAAGTTTACAAACGAACCCATACATCAAGGTTATTTTTTGTTTCCACTAAAAAATGCCCTCTCAATCAGATCGTACAATTCCTTTAATTGTAATCAAGAGCAATTTATTTGATAACAGCAAGGTAAACTTCGCACAAAAATAGCAATTGTGATAAACACAATGTACAAAGATAATAATAATCATGACAATGTGAAATTGAATCACATTGCTTGATGCCCTTTTCACAAGCTTCGCTAGGAGACTTCTGTAGATCTATTAAAGATCGTAAATTCTGGAATTAAACAGAATCGATTGGAGAAGAGTTATTTTATCATGCATTCCTTTATGTTGCCTTCACATTGCAGGACTTTTTGTTGTGTCCTTCTGCACCACATCTGGAGCACGTGTACGTGCCCCGTGTTACAGCTCGAAGTCGTACAAGTTTCGGACTCGTATATAGCCAGTGAAACCACAGGATGTCCCTTAGCCCATCCAACACATCTCCCCTACGAGAGAAGTTGTTCCGAAGCTTGCGAAAAAGCTTGTTGGCCGCTTCGCTGCCTTCACCACTCAAGATTCCAATGCTTCCTGGCCCATCCTCCGAGAGCATTGCTTCTTGGGTGTGTTCGAAGATCTTGTGAAGGTAGTTGGGCCAGCACACATATTCAAAGTGCTCTAGGAGCTCCCTGCCTATCTGCACAGCTTTCTTCTTAAACCCCTGTACCTCTCTCTTGTTTGGGTGGTGCTCTCGATAGATCTTCCTCAATGCCCGAAACTTCTGCAAAACTGAGCGAAGTAGTTCCTTTCTTTCCTCATTCCTAATCAGTTCCAAGAAAACATCCTCATTCTTTTCTTTAAAGAGGGCCCTAGCATAATTTCCTGGCATCATGAGGCTTGGCGCTGTTCCCAGTAACTCTCTCACGTTAATATTGAGACGTCTCTCTGCATCTACAATGTACTGCTTAACATTTTCGGAGGCCTCCCATTTATGCACACCTGCCATTTCCCTCACAATGATCTTCTTGAAGAACTGGCCGAGATTGATGTCAGCATGGGTCGCGTCCATCAATTGCTGCTTCGGTTCGGATGTGAGAAGTGGTTTGCGCTTCACGCCGCCCGCTTCCGTGGTCAGTTCATCAGGTGTGAGATTGTCAGGATTAGTTGTGATGTATGTTGATGTTTGTTGTGTTTCTGTGAGTGTTCTGTCAATTTTGAATGATCCTAGTTGTGTCTTTGCTGATGTTTTTGTAGCGTGGCAGAGCGTGCAAATGAAGTTTGACCCACTTCCCTGTAGCCCCCCTGATGATCGTGCAAGCTTCTCGTCTATCATGCTATTGTATATGGTGAATCGATGTAGTCTAGTGTACGTGCCGGCATGTATTGTCATGATACTGTTCTGGAGGATTAGCCGTTCTTTCTCCATCTTACGCATGAGTACGGCTGAGGTTGATGCAGAATTTTCGTCGCCAATCGCCTCCAATAACGGCCGATTCACGATAACTGAGTTGGGCTTGGGCTCCTCGAAGACCAGATCCCTTGTTCCATCATCACGCTTGACCTCACATTTCAAGACGACAAACGAAGCCCGAAATGCCTTGTCAGGCAGGAATGTGTCTGACTTCATCTTGTGGACAGCGATCTCCCCCATCCCATCTGCCCCATCCTTCAAGGTGGTGTCAATGATGATGGATGGGTCATCAGGGTTGAGGCCGACTTTAAGCATTCCTTCTCGGATGTTTTCATCGAGCTCTTCCAGGGTTTTTGCAACTGCCTCTGGGTAGCTCCATGCGACGCCAATACAGTTTGGCAGTGCAAATTCAGTCAGTTTGCTCCGCACGTTGATCCGGATGGGCTCATACATCGAATGGTCATCAAACTCTTCCAGTGATTTCTCAGGAGTGTGATAGACACATTTCCCTCCCTCCATCAGGCCGAACCTCACATTGCCGGGCATGTAACAGCTTTCCCTGTTGGTGAGCTGACCAGGTGGTTTGAAGGTCGTGTTCCCCTTTGACTTCAAAAAGCTGTATTTCTCTGCATACATCCCTTTGGTGCAAAGAGTCCCCACGCGCATCGCCAGGCAGTCATCTACAGACAAATCAGTTGATTTCTTCCTTTCTGTCCAAAGCTCCATTACCTAGATAGGAAAAAATAATACAACAAAACATGAATATACATGTAGCACATTTATATTTAGGGAATTCATCTCAGCTGCATGACTTTTAATTCAAGTACTAGTGATATTTGAGACCTCAATCATAAGATGAAAAATATTCACCTTAGGTACGAATATCTTGGACTTGCCCTTTGAAATACTTGATTCAAAATTGTTTCTTCAAAGCTCAAAAATCATTCGACTATAAAATTTCTGATCAAATTTAGCATTTTCATTTTTCCTGAATAAGACTTACGTATGACTACAGAGAACTATTCAAACCATATTGTTAATTACTTACCATTTTTGCTCGCTCATCTTCTTCATTCCTCAACCTGTTGTGAAGTCCGAAGAACCAGAGGTCTGTCTCATTCTCATTTTTGGCAGCACTGTGTGAGGTCATGAAGTCCAGGGCTCCTCTGGCTCTGTTCTTTGCGCAATCTCTCCGCACATAGTGTAGACTGCCTTTCGCTCTGGCAGGGGACTTCCTTGCTGGCACAGTTAGGACAGGGGAGAATAGAGCACGTGTGAAAGGAGCCCGGTCCTTCGTCACGATTGGCCGATACCTTGTGGCAGTTGGGGTTAGAGGGGCTGTGGCAGTTGGGGGTAAAGGGGCTGTGGCAGTTGGGGTTAAAGAGGCTGTGGCAGTTGGGGTTAAAAGGGCTGTGGCAGTTGGGGTTAAAGGGGCTGTGGCAGTTGGGGTTAAAGGGGCTGTGGCAGTTGGGGTTAAAGGGGCTGTGGCAGTTGGGGTTAAAGGGGCTGTGGCAGTTGGGGTTAAAGGGGCTGTGGCAGTTGGGGTTAAAGGGGCTGTGGCAGTTGGGGGTAAAGGGGCTGTGAAGCTGCAGGAAGCTTGCTGTTCATCCGGTCCAGAAACTGCAGCTGATGGTACAGTTAGGACAGGGGAGAATAGAGCGTGTGTGAAAGGAGCCCGGCCCTTGGGCAAGATTGGCCGATACCTTGTGGCAGTTGGGGTTGAAAGGGCTGTGGCAGTTGGGGTTAAAAGAGCTGTGGCAGTTAGGGTTAAAGGGGCTGTGGCAGTTGGGGTTAAAGGGGCTGTGGCAGTTGGGGTTAAAGGGGCTGTGGCAGTTGGAGTTAAAGGGGCTGTAGCAGTTGGGGGTAAATGGGCTGTGGCAGTAGGGGTTAAAGGGGCTGTGGCAGTTGGGGTTAAAAGGGCTGAGGCAGTTGGGGGTAAAGGGGCTGTGGCAGTTGGGGGTAAAGGGGCTGTGGCAGTTGGGGGTAAAGGGGCTGTAGCAGTTGGGGGTAAATGGGATGTGACAGTAGGGGTTAAAGGGGCTGTGGCAGTTGGGGTTAAAAGGGCTGTGGCAGTTGGGGGTAAAGGGGCTGTGGCAGTTGGGGGTAAAGGGGCTGTGGCAGTTGGGGTTAAAGGGGCTGTGGCAGTTGGGGTTAAAGGGGCTGTGGCAGTTGGGGTTAAAGGGGCTGTGGCAGTTGGGGTTAAAGGGGCTGTGGCAGTTGGGGGTAAAGGGGCTGTGAAGCTGCAGGAAGCTTGCTGTTCATCCGGTCCAGAAACTGCAGCTGATGGTACATTTAGGACAGAGGATAATAGAATGCGTGTCAAAGGAGCCCGGTCCTTGGGCACGATTGGCCAATAGCTTGAGGCAGTTGGGGTTAAAAGGGCTGTGGCAGTTGGGGGTAAAGGGGCTGTGGCAGTTGGGGTTAAAGGGGCTGTGGCAGTTGGGGTTAAAGGGGCTGTGGCAGTTGGGGGTAAAGGGGCTGTGGCAGTTGGGGTTAAAGGGGCTGTGGCAGTTGGGGGTAAAGGGGCTGTGGCGGTTGGAGTTAAAGGGGCTGTGGCAGTTGGGGGTAAAGGGGCTTTGGCAGTTGGGATTAAAGAGGCTGTGGCAGTTGGGGGTAAAGGGGCTGTGAAACTACAGAAAGCTTGCTGTTCATCCGGTCCAGAAACTGCAGCTGATGGTACATTTAGGACAGGGGAGAATAGAATGCGTGTCAAAGGAGCCCGGTCCTTGGGCACGATTGGCCAATAGCTTGTGGCAGTTGGGGTTAAAAGGGCTGTGGCAGATGGGGTTAAAAGGGCTGTGGCAGTTGGGGGTAAAGGGGCTGTGGCAGTTGGGGGTAAAGGGGCTGTGGCAGTTGGGGTTAAAGGGGCTGTGGCAGTTGGGGTTAAAGGGGCTGTGGCAGTTGGGGGTAAAGGGGCTGTGGCAGTTGGGGTTAAAGGGGCTGTGAAACTACAGAAAGCTTGCTGTTCATCCGGTCCAGAAACTGCAGTTGATGGTACATTTAGGACAGGGGAGAATAGAATGCGTGTCAAAGGAGCCCGGTCCTTGGGCACGATTGGCCAATAGCTTGTGGCAGTTGGGGGTAAAGGGGCTGTGGCAGTTGGGGGTAAAGGGGCTGTGAAACTACAGAAAGCTTGCTGTTCTTCCAGTCCAGAAACTGCAGCTGATGGTATCTTTGGGGGAGGAAGATCATCTGTTCCTACAGCCTTTTCTTTGGTTAACGTAGTTGCAGCACATACAGAACACAGATGGTAGGTTGGTCCTTCAGCATTGCGACTATCACTTCTCGTCTGTGGTTTGATTGGCTGATAAATTCTGGCAGTTGGGGGTGAAGGGGCTGTGAAGCTGCAGGAAGCTTGCTGTTCATCCGTTCCAGAAACTGAAGCTGATGGTATCTTTGGGGGAGGAAGGCCATCTGTTCCTACAGCCTTCCGTTTGGTTGATTTAGTTGCCTGATATGCCTCACATATAGAACACGGCTCCAGCTCTGGGTGGGCAGAGAAATTGGCAAGAGTTTTGCCACTTGTTGGATAGGTTGGTCCTTCAGCATTGCGACTATCACTTCTCGTCATCCATAGTCTAAAAACAAATGAGACAAATATAATTTTAGCTTGATACTGGTGAGAAAATAAATCGTTCCTGTTTTCACGAAGTGACGGTAGCGAGGAAAATCCGCACGCAAATTGTATGCGATTTTCATTCACTACCGTCACTTTGTGAAAATAGGGATGAAATGTTACATTTGGACATCAAATACAAATATAACCCTGTCAGTTTATATTCAGAAATATTCATTCATCTTGTAAGTTATACAGCATGTTTTCTTCTTGTAACTTTATCTTTCATCATGAAATTTAAGTGAACGATACAAAACTGAAAAAAATTGTTTGTGATGTGGTACTAGTGTTCAGAACATTACAAATCAAGACACTGGTGGCAACCATCTCAATGTCTGGATTTAATCTGCTCAGGACCGACCGACTGGTGTGCTACAACATTGAAAATTTAATTTAAAAGACAAATCAACTTCGCACAATATTGTTGCCTTGAAGCAATATAATGTTTTCCTTTTTAATATCATTGAGAGTGTAAACAAATCATCCTTGATGTGTGCTTCATGACAACTCAAGACCCTTGTTAAGTGGTCATGTTCATACCTGCATGATACGCAGATTCTAGGGGGATGAACATCCTCGTCGTCTAGCTTGAAGTCAATACCATAGACGCTAAGAATCAGCTCCTCATACTTCTCCTTGGAAGACAGGCTTTTCTTGTTTTTCACATACGAGCCGCATACACGACATGTCTGTGACAGAGCTTTCCTGTGGAGCTCTGCGGTTTCCATGACCTTGGGAAGACAAAACAAAAATGATTCTAAGGTTGAAGCTGACATACTGGTTGAGTGAAAAAAATCCTACAGAATGTTATAGAACATGATGGAAGTATTAATATACACTGGCTCAAAATCATTTCATCTCCCAAGACAGACAGATAAATGCTAATAACTGCTAAATACTACTTGTGCAAATAATATATAGCTTGTGCTGAATCCTTCTAGATGTCTTGTAAAGTTTAAATGATCCAAATTAGTGAAAAGAAAGAAAAAGAATAAAAGGCAAAAATGAACATCTGGTGAAGACTCTGCAATACAAACTGTAATAATAATATACTGTACTTATATAGCGCATATCACAATATGTCTCTATGCGCTGTAAGAAAGAGTAAGAAGGAAAAGTGGACAGTAATGAGAGGGGGGGGGGAGGGTGCTTGATTGATCTGGCTCTAATAGAATCCAGTATGGACTCAGCAGGGATGAGAGCTAGGTATAGTGGGATGAATTTAAAAGCCTTTTGATGCACGAATGTTGTGGAATGAGCCTTTTATATGTTTCTTGCCTCGGCTGTTATCAAATCTTCTGTTTTCCTGCTGTGGCTGCTGTTTGTGTTCAAACTCACTGTTCTGTATACAAAAGTTCTAATATACAGTAGGCTTATGGTTGCACAGTGTGAGTGGGTGAGGGTTTGGATAGTCCTGAAAAGGAGTACCTGTTGGTAATCATTCTTTCATGCAAGTGTGTATACCTGAAAAGGACTGTTGGTAATCTTCATCTCTTCAGTGTGTGTTGTCCTGAAAAGGACTGTTGGTAATCTTTCTTGAGCTTGTAGTTCTAAAGAGAGCTATAGAGTGGAGAAGTGTGACGTCATCAAAAATCTATTTTTAGAATTTCTCAATTTTTTCTTCATATTCCGAAAGAACACCAAAAATAATGTCCAAATGTCGAAAAACCTATTGAATATGTTAAGTATTGGCTGAGATATGACCATCTAAATGAATATATGTCCTATGGGAGCTCAGTGTTATATGCTCTGGCTCCTAACCATTAGGAGCCAGAGCATATAACACTGAGTTCCTATTGGGAGTATATTTATTCAGATGGTCATATCTCAGCCAATACTTAACATATTCAATTGGTTTTCGACATTTGGACATTAGTTTTGATGTTCTTTCGGAAAATGAAGAAAAAATTGAGAAATTCTAAAAATAGATTTTTATGACGTCACAGCTTCGGTACTCTATAGAGGGTAAAAGGCCACATTTTTGTGGATGGTTTGTGTGCGCTCTATAAGCCACATTTCTCAAGGGATTTTGTTGAAATTTTGAACGGAGTGGTATAATCTACACTCTTAGGTGATGCTGCCTTCATTGTTCCGTCCTTTATAGGGTCAAAGGTCATATATATTTCTTGACGGATTTCTTTCAAATTATATGGAGGTGTTTTATTCAAACGGGGCAGGTTGTGATGATTTGGTTTGCCTTTTTCTCCTCTGCACCACACTCACAAGCTGGACTTTGGGCCAAGCCCCATCTTAACATATGTTGGCCTTGGCCAAGCATGCAGCTAAAAATCCTTCATCCCCTTCTAATGAAGATAGACTTTAAGTATACCTCTTGCTTACATTTAAAAGCTTCAGCGGATGTACAGTTGACAAGTCCTGCAGTACGTAGCAACTACTAGTTACTAATACTTCAATGACGCTGTGTCTTCTTAGAATGACTTTTGACATTAAAGTCACAAAAATATATGTAAAGATTGTATAGTATAGTAGCAACGACTTTATTTGGATAGATACAGTAGCCTACAGATTAACGGACAGCTAAGAGCAGCAGTTCATATTTATACCTTTATATACTATTTGGTCAATAGATCGAGTCAGATCCAAAAGAAACATGTAGCATATCATATTATTCATTTTCAGATTACCTAGGTTAATTATTAACTGCTAGAAAATAATGTGAAATATTGACATGTGGAGAACAGAGTGCACTTGTTTAGAATTACTGGTTTTTAGTGATTAGTATAAATACAAGTGTGGCTGCCTTCATATATCTTTATATAAAGGATTTTCGTCTAACAATTAATTGTCCAGTTAATTGTTATTCACAAGGCACATCCATGAAAATGAACTCTGGAAAGTGGAAACAATTTGCTACAGTCCAACAAACTTTTGTTTTATTCAGCTCCGACAATGGTATAAATTTCACCTTAAAGGTACTATGTCCCATTTGCAGGCCAACAAATGAATTCCAACGGCATTTGAAAGATACTAATTTAGAACTTCCCTAAAAAAGGTGGGGCTCGAAAATGTCTTCAAGTGGGAAAATAACGACTATTAGTTGTCAAATCGACTTAGGAGCTATAGAGCCAATAAGTAATAGCCTTGATTTTCAGACCATTGTACCGAATTGTCATACGTTTTATGCTGCGCAAAGATTCAATCAGTTTAATTTTGGTCATCACAAGAAGTGGGTTATTGATGTAGACAAATGCTCATGTACCCTTAATTTACAGCTCATTTTATAAGAAGAAAAGAGCCAGTCATCACTCGATAGTGTCTGACAGTGTAGTCTAGCAAGTAAACGGGTTTCCTTGCATAATTTGAATATTAGGACACTGCTAACGTTTAAATTTCACAGATAGGACATACATGACATATTCATAATTCCTACAGAATTTGAGGTTGGCTGCAAAAGGGACATAGTACCTTTAAGGCTTATTATATCTTTAGTAAAACCTTCAGATTACAATCTGTAATGAGAATATACAAACAATCGATCCTTGCCTTCTAGTAAATATCAAACAACATTATGTAGAAATGGATATGGCATTCTTACCGAATAGGGGTCGTTGTTTGTTCCAAAAAATAACTTAAAACTTTCTGCTGGAATGTTATGTAATTCTGACCTTACTGCATCACATTGACAATCAGAATGACTGCATGGAGTCTGCTCCTAGTCCCAGAACACATGGTTGGAGAGAACAAAGAAATTCCCCACTTTGTGTCTCAGAGTATAATCTTAAGCTTAAGCAAAGTGCTGGTAGTCTCATAATAAGACTCTTCAAAACAAGCAGGAATATATATTTCTGCATTACATCCTGATGTAGTGACAACAAGAGTGACCATTCAAAGCTTAAATGTGCATTGAATTGTATCAAAGAGGGATTTATTCAGTATTATGTAATATCTTCAAGACGAGTGTGTATTGAATTTAAATCATGTGGTTGATCAACAAACATGTGGATGTTTAGAAAGAATTTAGGTCACAGAATCTAAATAAAATTGCCAGATTTATTTTAACAGTTACAATATTAATACTTACTTGATTATATTTATAGATTTCATGTACAGTATTTGTATATGCAGGACTTGGAAATCAAAACAAATGTGTATATATCCATTTCTATGCAAAGATATTTTTGCTCGATCTCATTTGAATACATTAATCATATGACATTGATTAGCCCTTATTATTTTTGTAACTATTTAATGTTGATGCTTTGAAGTTATATTATGTAAATGATACAAACTTGTATTGACCATACACGTGCATGTAGGTCATTACAATAATAGTAATTATGACAGAAAATACTTTTATAGTAACCGCAGTGCATTTTAATTAGAAGTTGCTTTGTCATGGTTATTGAAATTTGATGCTAAAAAAACAGTACCCGGTATTCAAAGTTTCACATGTTTGTAGTCAGTTAATGTATTGTAGTCAGTTAATGTATTGTATCATGTATTATATTGTTATAATTTGTAGGATAACATTACTTTAATTTTATTTTTGTTAAGTGCTTAGAAACTTTGTATTACCGTAAGCGCTATTTAAATATGTAGCCAAAATAGTTTTAGAAGAAACTTGAGAAATTACATAATCGAAAATGCAAAGTAAAAATATGGTTGATGCTTACATAAAAAATAATACATATTCATATTGTAAGTGCGGCTACAAACTTTAACATCTAATTTTCGTGTAACATAATTTTGAAATGAAGTGCACCAGTCTTGTATTATTGTTTGTTGTATTCATATAAATGCCATCTTTTCTACTTAATTCCATGCACTTGTATATATTCCTGTATGAAACACATGTTACATTATTTTTATATTTACATTCATCGTTTGTTCAATAGCTTCATCAAAAGTGATTTAACAACAAAGTTGGGTCACATGTGCTTGTTCTTCATTTTAAAATGTTACATTTGATCGTGTGTGGTATTTGGCCTTTAAAAAAAGATGTTGTATTGCCCTTTAGGTGCCAAAACACGAGTCGGTCGGTCAGAATTTTTCTTTTTTTAAACTTTTTTTTTCTTCTCCCTCTTTAGGCTGATATTTCTCAGTTTTGAATGCTTTAATATTTTTTTTTCTTTAAAAAACGGTTTTAAAAAAGAAATTTAAAAAAAAAAATTTTGGTCAGCCGCAAAGGGCAATACAACATCTTTTTGTTTTGGCCTTATGAAAGTAATTATACAATTTTAAAAGATCCAATACTCCAGTTTCTCTTTAAAAAAAGTAATGTGTATATTACTTTATAACAATAACTTTGTATCTACTTGGTTTCTTTCTTTTATTTGTCATGTAAAGCTTATTGAGCAGTATTTTAATGTATTTTTAACTTTATTACAAAGCAGTGCAGATATGCAGCAAGATTTAGTGTTATCTGCTATGATGCTGTTGGTTTAAAAACCATAAAAATACACAATTCTTCTTCTTTAATTTCACCAAGCTTTCAGAATAACTTCTATACATGTCCCAAAATTTCAAAAGGTAAATGTAATTTCAAAACAAATCCTATATAAATTAATCAGCTATTTTGGAGAAGAAATCCCCATTGAAGACTCTGTTCTCACCGAGTTGTAATAGAGAGCATGAAGATCACTTTTCACAGTTTGGACAATTAAGTAAAAATACAAAACAAACAATCGCATGCTAATTGAAAGATTTTCTCATTTGCCTGATCCAAGCACTTTATTACATACACTGTACATGTATACTCACAACTTCAATATCTTTGGTCCATAATTTTAGACAGAATTTTTTAAATACAGCATTGGTACATCCATCTGTATTAGAGGTCGCTTGTATATCAAAGACTGGCCTTTTGACTCATTTGATCTGCAACTCCTCGAGTTAATGGATAATTAAATCACTAGTTACAAAGTTCACTATTTTCAAATCCCTGAGGTTTGCTGACCCTTCCCTATCACTTTTTGTGATCACATTGCACCAATTTCATTTTAATTAATAAAAACAAATTATACAATTACATACAATTAATAAGAACTACATTGTAGTTATATTTTTGCTCTCAACTCAGCACTGAAAACATATGTTTGGCTGAGGGAAAAGCGGAAAGGCCCGCACAAAGGCAAAGTCTTGCTCTCAGATGCCGGTCTCCAGTTTTGACTAATGGCCTCTAATGATTGGTTTATGATTAAGTTAATTGAACAATGGATACCCATTTTTAAAAAGCTTTGATGAAATGAGATACCTGATATAAGAAGGTAATTTTTATGGTACCACTGTAATTTTTATAACAAGTTTCAATTGTATTTCGTCATCATACATCTGTTCATCCTCATATCGTGCATATAAAGAAATACAATTATTTCACTCTTTTAGATTCTCTGTAAGATTTTAAGCCTTTGACCATTATGGAAGGAATTATGAATCTAATCATAATTTAATATAAAGGAAAATACCATTTTTAATAATTATATGTCATCTTTGATGACTGATCTGATAAAAGTCCTTTGGCAGTATTAAGGCTGTCATGACTGTCATGTGGTGGTTGTCATTAAGAGCCCTTGGTTCCCCTGATCAATGATTCTGCCAGATCCCATTGGTCCTTGGAAAGCTGAAACATAAACAGTAATAGTTATTCATGATTAGCACTGTTTTATACAGAAAGCATGTCACATGTCCCTTTAAAGCCCCTATCAGGGATTTACCAAGCCCTCAACAAAATTGTCTCACAATTGTAACTATAGCAGCAAGATGAGATTATGAAAGTATGTGCACAACTTTAGATCAATAGCCTCTGGTTTTCTATCTATAAATAAATTAAAGTCCTCTTTTTGTACACAAAAAATGGGGTGAATAAAACACTGTCAGTTGCAAAATTCAAATTTTGAAAAGAAAACTGACTAATTTTGCTGATAATGAATATTTTGCCACCATACTTATAGGAAAGTTTACAATTACAATTTTTTACATTTTGGCCCTTTTATAAGTTTTGAGATATGCGCCGTGAAAATCACTGCGACACCCTTTAAAGGTTTTAATTATTCTTTTTTAAAGTAGCAGTCCATGAAGTTACATTTATTTGAAATTATAATAATAATGAATGATTTTACCTGGCACCTTTATATTCACTTAACGACCCCCATGACACGCCTGTGTGATAACCCTGCCCAGAACAATAATCTGCTACCAGTTATATTCTTTAACTTTGGTTTATTTCTACCAATGAAGGTGGTAAAATTGATAACTTACTTCGAGGTAACCACTAAACATTCCTGATGCCTGCAGCGTCTGGCCACCATCAAACATGAAAATCTCTCCATTAAACCAGCTTGCATAATCACTGCATAGATAGCAAGCCAGGTTGGCTATCTCTTCTTGGTCTCCCATCCGACCGGTAGGGGTGGACTCTGTGAGTTTGTCCTGGAACTGACCTGTGGGGTCCAGTCTGCTGAAGGCTCCCTGTAATCATAGGAATGATAAATACAAAATCTGTAACTAGATGTTTGTAACAGGCCATAAGGCATTGAATATGCATGCTTCATCTGTCCTCTTTATCAACTGATACAGTAAAACCGCCACAAGTTAACCCTTACTGCACTGGGCTATTTGAAAAATGTTGAGGGGGGGCCAAATTCGCGAAGGAGAATTGTCTACAAACCTCCTTTGTGAATTTGGGCCAGTGTGTACATGGATTGCAGGAGCGAAAGAAATCTGCTGTTACAAAATATTTTAAATATTTTTTATATAAAGATTCAAAACTGTATAAACTATTAAAGTACAAACAGTCAAACCTGCCTAGCAACCGCCCAAGGGAATCACAAAAAGTGTTCTTTGTAGACAGGTTCTTTTAGTACATGTTTCAATGAGAAACCATTTTCAAGGAAAGCAAACAATGTGATCGTTGTAGACAGGTGGTCACTAAAGCAGGTTTGACTGTACATGTAGTTAAACAAATGTACTTGGTGAATATGCTAATGTATGTAAGCATAATATATCTTGCATGTGAATGAAAATTCATTTTCGAAATATAAAGAGTCACATATTCAATTATTGTTATTACTATTGATTTATTTTCCACATTTCCATTACACAAAAAAACTTCTACTTTTCCTTTTACTATTCATACAGTGTCCATGAGATGATGAGTAAACACTAAGGCAGTCCCTAAAAGCAAGTGACCTAGAAAACTTTCATGCCAAGTCCAAAGTCCACTGTGGTCCATTCAAGGACCTCTGTAAACGAATCTTCATTTACTCAAGATAGTGAATGGAGAATGGAGAAATGAATGAATAAATGAATCAAGACTTGAAACTGACCTTTGTGTAGATTCCTCCTGGTGCTATACAATTGAATCTCATTCCATGGCGACCCCATTCCACAGCTAAACTTCTACATGTGAAAAACAAAGTATATACATTCATGATATTATAACTGTACTGTATATGACTATGGCAGCTTTAATAATTGCACATGGAATTCTTTTTCACATTCACAGAATCGGTTCATAGAAAGTATAGCCAGTTGGTAAACAACTTTTTAAGCATGAGTTACTGGTATACATTTTTTACAAAGAGATACCGGTAAGTATAGTGTTTCTATTCATCAGTAATTCACTCAACGTTTGAAAATAATTCACTTATTTTGTTTTATAATAACGTAAGAAAATTTCTGTATAGCAACATTCTGAAGAATTTCTATGTCAAAGTAAGATAAAATAATATAATCAAGTTTATTCCATTCATCATAAAAAACATTCAGATACAATAACATACAAAATCACAAGATATATATTCAAAATAAACAAACATTACATAAGATAATAGTACAAAATAAGGTGATCTGGACAAAAACATTTATGTGAATGAGGAGGCAGCTAGAAAGGAAGGAAATGCCTTATTGGTGCTAAAAACTAAAACAAAAATGAAAATTTATATATAGTATATGATATATTGTGTATGTAAACTTATTTTGGTTCTTTGTACGTTAGTAAATTGTGAGGAAAACAAATTTCTTATATTGGACAATAAATTGAAATTGAATACCATACATATTGCCCATATATATCCCAACAATTATACCTATTGCAGTTATGCCTGTTTTAAGCTTATAACTAATGTAGCAATAGACTAACCTAGTAACATTCTCAAGTCCACTCTTAGCAGCAGCACTGGGAGTCACAAAGGGAGATCCAAGGGCTGCATATGTGGTGCTGATCGTCAAGAAATTGGCACCTGAAAAATAAATAAAGTACAATCTTGAATAATTTTCTGTTATGACATATTCATTCTTCAAAGAAAAATATTTTTGGTTGCATTTTTTATATGGACATAACTACAAAAGGGTTCTAACTTCTAAGGAAGATAGTTTTTGTATAATTTAAAAATACAGAGGGGAAAATAGAGTTTAGTTTACTTCCCCCCCTCCCCCCCCCCCCCCCCCCCCACAAAAAAAAAATCTTATTAAATATCTTTCTTGATATTAAACTACATTTTAAAAATAAAAAATGATGTTTACTCTGATTGGGACAAAATTATTCCTTTGAAATCCAGCAATGCAGGAGCAAACGTTTATAGTTTGGTTTACTCAAATACAAACTAATATTGTAAGACCAGAAACTTCTGTAAAATAAGTTTGTACAAATATAATTATTTTTCTATTTCATTTTCTTTACAAGAGTTTCTTGCCCCCAAAATGGAAAAAGCAATGTGCATAAGTTCCAAACTTTCTCGTTCCATATGATTGGTGCTGTTGGTTCTTGACTTCCTGCAACAAACAACATTCAGTTGTATCAACTGTTTAAACAGGGGATCGTTACTTTAATGTAATAAATAGATATTCTTTTATTTTGGCAAACCTTTTTGCTGCTCAACAAGTCTCTTCCCGATCTCCAAGGTGGTGTACATTGTACCATTCAGAACAACATCAACTATTGTCTTCCAAGCATTGGGAGAAAGACGTTCTGACGGAGATATAAAGTTAGCGGCAGCATTGTTGATGACGACATCTGGAAGTCCTCCGCAGATCTCTACAAACTGATCTACAGAGGATTTAACAGCATCAGGATCTCGTATGTTAGCTGGGATCGGATGGACAGGATTTCCGGTCTCCGCTGAGATCTCTTCCGATGTGCTCTTCAGAACATCTGGAGATCTGCAATTGGATGGAATTTTTAAAACCTGATCAATGGAAAACCTGATCAATGGAAAATGTGATCTAGAGGACTTCTGCACAAGGACTTAAGTTGTGTAAGCGTAATGTTATTATAATTGTGGTGGCATGACAGAGCGAGAGCAGATCTCTGGTGAATAGTAAACGTCGATAGCAGATGCAGTATGGTTGAAGGGTATACATGTCCCATGTGCCCCCCCCCCCCCTCACCCATTCTTCACCCTTGGATTGGCTACTGATGACATTCTTGTATCCAAAATTCCCTTCACTCAGTTGATAACACAACAAAATAGAAAGAGTACATACTACAACATGGGACTCATTGAAAAAAATAGTGCATTATAGCCTACAAATTTATCTTAAACTTGCCCAATATGGTAGCTAAGTTAACAGTCTGATTAGCCTCCACTAAGAATGCAAACTGAACTAACTTGCTTGATCACATTAAAGATGGTCTAAAATAAATTTGTCCTATCTACTAGCACTTGTTGCAAGTATGTTTATTATATCAGTGCAAGCCTCCAGTCACTCTATGTACTGTACCTGCTGACAATGGCAACCTCAGCTCCAAGTTGAGACAGCATTCTTGTCATGGCCTTTCCCAGTCCTGTTCCTCCTCCCGTCACGAATACTTTCTTGCCTTTATAGGTGTCAGGAGGGAGCATTGGTGTCTTCACTGCTTTCAAGTTATCATACTTATCTGAAGGGTTGCTACTGGAGCACTGTGACGTCCCTGATAAACAGCGCACTGATAGCTGTAATGAATACAGTGTAGATATTATTTTTAAAGAGAAAAATGTAGTAATAAAGGAAGTTATGATATGGAGGAGTACCTGCTGTAGGCTATTTGACATGATGTGGAATAACTTCCAATGTACCTTTTAATTCTTCCTTAAATTTAAATTTTGTTACAAAGCAGGAGAGCTTGTAACATGAGTTTTGCACAATTGTGGCACAATCACTGCACAAGAACATGTAGTATGTAACTTCCATATATCTTGTAGAATTCTTTCATACACACACACACACAGGGCATTTTGCTCCCCCTATTTATTTTATTTCATATTATTCCTTCCGCTGCAAGTAGAAGTCTAAAATCACCTCATTCTTTATTATGTTATTGCCACTCTTTTATTTAAACAAAACTCAGTGCATGTTTGATTGAGTTTTCACAGACATGGTGTGATATGGTAGGGATCAACCTTCAATGTCAATATTTTGAAAGAAAGAGGCAGGTCTAACTTTGCACTTTATCAACACAGAACACTAATATTATTGTTTCCCTGTCATTTAATTCTAATAAAGGTAATTTTGCATCAATTTGAACCTGATTATTCTCCAAATTTGACAAGACCTGGTTGTTAACAAAAATTGTGCAAATCAACAAACTTTTGTAGAGCAAAGTCTAACTTTTTTCAACAATGAACAAGAAGCGTATATGCAAATTTAATTATTTGTTTGTCATTGTCTTTTTCACCCATTTGCTCTCAAGCATACTTCTCAATGTCCATTCAAGCTCGAGCTTACAGAACTGATTTAAGTCTACACGAATATTCTTTTGTACCATATGTTCCCCATTCCATCAAAGATTATCATATTTGACAGCCCTGCATGGGCACCATCATCTTATAAAGACGTGCTTTAGATCAATCGCAAGTTTGCAATCCCCTATAAAGATGTGCAATTGATCTGAATCAATCGCAATCCCCTATATCATATATACATGTACATGTACATACAGTGTACATGTAGTTGCAATAATTAAGTTGTGATTAATTGCAACTGGTTATTTAAGACAGGGCTCTGGTAAAGATTGGATCTGAGGAAATACCAAGAATAAAATACATGTTTATATCAATCATGTTCAGCATTTCATTAAAACTTAGTGTAACATAATAGGGGGTGAACAAAAAGACCAAATACCTTGGACATGGCCATTTAATCTCATGAATGGAGACCCTATTCACTATATATTCAGGTACAGCTACTACTATAACATAAATAATAATGGGTATTGGGGTCCTTTACGGTAATAAAAATGAAATTTGCCCACCTTCCCCATGTTTAAGTGGGTAAATCTGAACCCTTGCTGTCACTACTAGTCTTGTCTTGTCTTTCCGTAGGCATAGATTCTTCTTCTTCCTCTTCTTCTTGTCGAGTACCGGCCTCTTAAATAGAGTATCTTTGTACTTTGTGCAATGATTTTGTGACGTGTGCTGCAAAACTGTCCTTCTTAATATTCAATAAGTAAAAAGTTTGATGGTGCAAGTAAAAATGGTGGTGCTGTATGTTGCAGAAGCCTCAGTAGATCGCAGGGAAAAGATACAAGGGGGCGGCCGCCCGGCCGTAAATACCAAAAGGAGCACCCAAAATCAAAAAAATCAGATTACGGGGGCGACTTCAAAACAGGAAATGGTTTCAAATCGCCCCCTGTAACAATTGCCGCACGAGCTACAAGCGGCTGCTCTCTACTAGCTTTTTATTGTGTGCATGGAGAAAAACCTGCTCCTTCATATGACACCTCAATTATTGTTTCACCTTCAGAATCACGAGCCATAAAGATTTGAATCTCAATTTGGTAATAAAAACATTGACCATGCAATTTTGCATGAGCACCCAATGCACGTAGACTGCATAGGGATGCATGCATTAATCTCTATGGACTATATGAAGGATTTTAGCACACAAAACGGCGAGCGATCAGACACCCTACTAATAGTAATGCTATTTTCTAACAACATGATTTCCCTGTGATTTGGAACTCCATCCCCAAAGATGTTTCTGAATGCAAGTCCTTCAAATTCCTTCAAATTCCTTTAAAAAAAAGGTTGAAGCAGTTTCTTTATCTGAAATATGTATGGTTATTTATCTTTTGTTTATATTTGCGTTATAGGTTTTTTTGTTTCTGTTGTATTAATGTTGTTTTTGTTTTTGTTTATATTTGCTTTACATTATATGCTATGAATACCTAAGGGCTTTATTTATGTAGTTCCTCATTTCATGTTCAAAATTTGTTTATGAATTATCTTGTATCTTTTGTATTAAGCAGGGCTGTCAACTTTGGGGAACTGCTTCGAGGGAGATTGTACCATATGCGATTTTTGATTGGCTCAACAAGGAAGGGGGGATGTTGGGTAAGAAAACAAAATTAAAAAATCAAAGTGCTCACTACCCCCCCCCCCCCCCCCCCCCCCCCCCAGTTGAGCAAAAAAAATCCATGCGATACGAGTACGCTGGTTCATTTTACACGTCTGGCGGGAGGTTTTTTCATAAACTGGGAGATTGCGGGAGAGCGGGAGGAAGGGCGTGGTGGCAGGAGTCTTATTAGCGGCAAGTTAATGCCCAATAGATCAGCGGTTTGCCGTGAAACCTATGAAAAATAGGCTATTACTAATATCAACATTTATCCAAAAAATACTCCAAAAATAACAAGAAAACTGACTCGAAACAGGTAATAATCATAACGGCTTTTAACTCATGTTCTTTATTTGGACATTTAATGAATAGATGTATTTACTTCATTTTGGGTAAATCTATGTTTTAGTGAGGTAGATCTAGATCTAGATCTATCTCTACGCCAGAGTTACGGGTCAAACTTTGAATAGGTTTTTGAACAAGCGCCAAAACTTATAAAAGTCACGACACGTCACTAGGCCACTGTAACACATGCTCACACATTTCTAATCAAAACTAGATTAGATCTACTCGGCTCTACGAAACAGCTAAAGCTAAAGTGACCTAGCTAGGTCTACATAACTTGAATGACTTCCCTGCCCTAACTGCTGGGAAATACGCTAGCGTGCTTTACGCTGGTCAGTCAGAGTTGAGCAAGCAAGCATTGCATGCATGTAATGACAAAATGAATGCAACAAAAAAGTTACTTGTTGTAATTGTCTACCTTATATTAGTTACCTGGTTAGGAGACGGAAAGATGCAGCTGCTTTTCCCTGATGCGATACACCTTGCTATGTTGAACGCCATTGTCTCCAATGTTTTTATTTCTTAAATTAAGGGTCGTAGGATAAAAGAATTCTAGAGTCTCTGGACTCTCGCTCTTGAAGGATAATTCCATGCGCACGCGCACTTATGACGCCCACCCAGCACCTCCGAGCTCCGCTCCTCCCACTTTTACAAAAAGTAAGTAGACAGAGAGGGAGGGAGGGGGGGGGGGGGTGTGAGAACAGAGAATTTAAAGATGTTTCGATGTTGGAAAAAAACAAAAACATGCAAAATAAGCAAGCTAAGAAACAAACAAATCAACATCGAGTACATCTGAAGGATATACTCTATAGCTAGTAAAATGGTTTCTTTTTAAAGAGGGATGAGAATTTAAAACATCAATAAAGGAAAAAAAGTATGATCTAAAATTAAACAGACAAATAAGAAATAAAGCATATTTCATTTGGAATCGAATCAAATTTATTCCAAAAAACTTGGGACAAACATATCTTGAAATCAAAATAAATTATACTCTTTTAACAAAATAATTTGTGTATTTTATTTCAGTTGAAGACAAAGCATGACAAATAAATGAAGATAAAAACAGTATAATAACTGTTAACAAATATGTTGTTGTTTTTTAAATTTAAAATAGGTGACAAGTAACAGATCAAAGATACCCTGCACCTATATTACCCTGGTTCAATTAAAGATTTTACTCTCTCCACTCCATGCATTTCAATTCAATTCAATTCAAACAGTTGTCATTCTACAGATGCTTACCCAACCAGAGTTATATAAGAATCTTACCAGGTACCCATGGGTGGAGAGAAGCAATGTGGAAAAAATACCTCAAGGACAGTGCCATGGTGAGACTCAAAGCCATGACCTTTGAATCTCCAGTTCTGTGCCTACTTGAAAGATCATGAATACAGTCATTACCGGTATTTGAAATATGATCCTTTTTATCATATATAAAGCCTGTCTGCAGTTTGGCCAGGAGGGATTAGACCTCGCTGCAAGGTCACTGACAGGTGGTTATCTCATCAAATCAGCTCTCAAATAACAGGAAAGGGGGATCATGGGAGACCAACAGGTACCGCTTAGGCATTGTTTGCTACATAGAGGGCGCAAGTAGCTATAAGTAGTGATGTCCCACTTTAAGATACATTTTCTTGTTTACAAAGCACTGAATGGCCAAGACCCAAATTATTTGTCTGAATTATTATCTTTAGAATCGCACCCATATGCATGTAACTTATGAAGTACACAGGAAAAGCTCCTAGAGCTACCTCACACAAAAACAAAAGTAACTCTTGGAGATTGGGCTTTCAGTTGCATATAGTCATACATAATTAGGCAACGCCCGATTAGAGATCTACTTGAATATAATTTTTGCAAGACAACCATATAACACACTTCATACACAAAATATGATTGAATAAAAACATTAAACAATGTATCAGGTTTTCAGATTCTGATATCAAAATGAATTTTACTTGTTAGCTGCTGGATTGCCTGGTTTGAACTGTGACGACAATGATGTTTGAACAATTATATTTTCTTTGGTTATCAAACATCTGAATAATTGGTACATTTTGTATTTCAGCATATTGTTACATACTTATATTTTATTTCATTTGTTATTGAATAATTGCTTCTTTATTTCAGGTACAGTACAAGCGTATGTACATGTATGAGCTGTTACTTTGCACTTACCAACATCTACAACATAAGTAGTCTAGCTGGTAAGGGATCGAAATAGCCGCCTGCCCATGTGCATAGAGCAGGGTATCAGGTAATAGTTTGGGGAATGTTATTTCTGACCATGCAGTTTCATCAGTTTGCTATTGATTTGTTGGTCTAGAAACATATCTGTTGTATGATAATCAATTACTGAGCTTTTTCTTCTCTCAAATTAATTCCATTATCCGGAACTCATCAGCTTTCACAATAAACATTAATTTAATTTCAAATCATGTAATAACCCCGTAATAACTAATAAACACTTCTGCCTTTAAGGCTTCTGCAAAAGAATATTTCAGAGCGTTGTTAGCTTTTCGCAAAATGCATCTAGTAATTGCTTGGCTGAAGTTATCTTTTTAAAAGAAATTCCCTTAGGTAAGCAAAGCCATTCGCAATTGAAATTATAATATTTCTTGCCATGTCATATCTAATTAAATTCTCATTATTCAACACCATGAAATGGCATCATCTATTAAATGCAAAATGAAATTACTTCATTCTGATATTTCATATGCTTTTATAATTATGATTCAGAATATTCTTTTAAAATTGAAAAAAGCACATAATTCATGTTTGACACCATGATATCATCATCCAGAGAAAGGCAACAAGATTGATATTCTGAGCATTATCCACAATTTCATGGCATTCCATTCATACTGATTACAGTCAGACAGTCATTATATTCAATCATGTGACAGTCATGTGACAGTCATGCGGTATCATGTGAGAGTCATGTGACAGTCATGCGGTTACGGAGTTACGTCTTTGTGTCACTGACCCCTCGAAATTATATGTCATCTTTTATAACTGATCCGATGAAATTCCTTTGGCAGTATTTAGGCTGGTCGTGTGATACGTATATGGCTGTCATGTGATAGTTGTCATTAAGAGCCCTTGGTTCCCCTGATCATTGATTCTGCCTGATCCCATTGGTCCTTGGAAAGCTGAAACATAAACAATAACATTTATTCATGATAAGCATTGTGTTACACAGAAAGCATGTCACATTAAGCCATGTTCTATCTAAACCTAATAATTATCAGCTATGTTATCTTAGGGACGTTGCACTTTAAACATCTTTTGTTTATGTACTGTTTCTACTATGTATTATATCTCGATGTAACCAACTTAATATTATTATCTGTAAATAATTATTTTACATCGTGAATAAGTACCTGTAAAACAAACAAACATGTACCTTAAATCCCTTATCAAGGATTTGCCAAGCCCTCAAAAACTTGTCTCACAATTTTATCTTTAGCAGCAAGATGGGTTTATGAAAGTATGTGCACAATTTTAGATCAATAGCCTCTGTGGTTTTCTCTCCATGAAAAAATTAAAGTCCTCTTTGTGTACACGAAAAATTGGGTGAATAAAATACTGTCAGTTGCAAAATTCAAATTTGAAAAAGAAAACTTGCTAATTTTGCTGATAATGAATATTTTGCCATCATACTTATAGGAAAGTTTTCAATTACAATTTTTTTTACATTTTGGCCCTTTACAAGTTTTTAGATATACGCTGTGCAAATCACTGCAACACCCTTTTAAGGTTTTAATTATTCAACTTTTTGAATGTAGCAGTCCATGAAATAACATTTATTTTAAATGATAATAATAATGAATGATTTTACCCGGCACGTTTATATTCACTCACCCCCCCCCCCCCATGACACACCTGTGTGGTACCCCTGCCCAAAACAATAATCTGCTATCAGTTATATTCTGAATCATTTCTACCAATGATTGATTGGTGTTCTTTACCAACATCAATACATTTCATACGATGTGTTTAAGAAAAGAAACCATTGGTAGGTAATGAAGGTGGTAAAATTGATAACTTACCTTGAGGTAACTACTAAACATTCCAGATGCCTGCAGTGTCTGGCCACCATCAAACATGACAATCTCTCCATTAAACCAGCTTGCATAATCACTGCATAGAAAGCAAGCCAGGTTGGCTATCTCCTCTTGTTCTCCAATGCGACCGGTAGGGGTGGAGTCTGTGAGTATTTTCTGGAACTTACCTGAGGGATCCAGTCTGCTGAAGGCTCCCTGTAATCATGGGAATGATTAAGACAAATCTGTAACTAATGTTTTGTTATACTTATAGCCCATATAACATCAAATATACATGCACCTTCTTTATCATCTGATGCAGTGAAACCACCGAAAGTTAAAGGAAAATGCAGCAGCAAAACATAGTGTGTTACACGGATTGCAGGATCAAAATAAATATGCTGTTAAGAAATCTTTTTAATTTCTTTATTTGTAAAGGTTAAAAACTGTATAAATTATTAAAGTAAATACAGTCAAACCTGTCCAGCGACCGCCCAAGGGAATCACAAAAAGTGGTCTTTGTAGACAGGTTCCTGTAGTACATCTCCAATGAGAAACACTTTTCAAGGGAAACAAAAAATGTGGTCTTTGTAGACAGGTGGTCACTAAAGCAGGTTTGACTGAACATGTAGTTAAACACATGTACTTGGTGAATAAGCTTCTCATATTGTATGTAAGCTTATTTTGTCTTGCATGTGAATGAAAATTCAATTTTTTAAATCTAAAGAGGTACATTTGTTATTATTATTGTTACTATTATTGATTTATTTTCCACATTTCCATTTTTTTTAACTGTTACTATTCATACAGTGTCCATGAGATGATTGGTAATTCATAAACACTGAAGCATTCCCTAGAAGCAAATGACCTACAAAACTTTCATGCCAAGTCTAAAATCCACTGCAGTCCATTCAAGGAGCTCTGTAAACAAATCCTACTTTACTCAATATAGTGAATGGAGAATGGAGAAATGAATCAGGAAATGGAAACTGACCTTTGTGTAGATTGCTCCTGGTGCTATACCATTGAATCTCAATCCATGGCGACCCCATTCCACAGCTAAACTTCTACATGTGAAAAGTAAAATAAATATATTGATAACTGTAATGTGTTCTGCGATGGCAGCTTATACAAGTACATTTCACTCGTCATCCACAAAATCAGTTTGAAGAAAACTAATTAGCCAGTTTATGTGGATTCACTAAATTGTGCTGAATATGTTTTGCTCTTTTCACTAAATAGTAACTATAAACCAAGCATTAACTATATACAAACTTTCGGTCCATATTTGTCCATATTTGCACGATGATTTGTACAATTGAAAATCTGTAAAAACATATCATGGCATGCTTAAAAATATATGTATTCATCAAATTACAATATAAAAAAATTGTATATGGTATACTTTGTGTCATGTCTCCCTTTCTTTCCTTTTTTTTTGGGGGGGGGGGGTGGTGAAACAGACAAAATAACACATTAAACATGGGGTGTAAATTTACAAAAACCGAATATTCAATCTTTACTTATTTTCATCAGCAATTAATTCAGTCAACATACCAGTATCACACATAACCCCAATCAATCCCAACAAGACTACTGTGTTGCAGTTATGCCTGTTTAAACCTATAACTAATATAGCAATAGACCTACCTAGTAACATTCTCAAGTCCACTCTTAGCAGCACCACTGGGAGTCACAAAGGGAGATCCAAGGGCTGCATATGGGGTGCTGATCGTCAAGAAATTGGCACCTGAAAAATAAATAAAGTATAATCTTGGATCCATTTTTCTGTTTTGACATATTAATTCTAAAAAAATATATTTGGTAGCATTTTTATTCAACAAACATGTACATACACTGTACATGTATATACAAAAGGGTTCAGATTATTGATAGTTTGTGTATAATTTTTAAATACAACGGGAGGGGAAAAAAAGTTAAATCCCCCCCCCCCCCAAAAAAAAATAAAAATAAATAATAAATAAATAAATAAATAAATAAATAAATAAATAAATAAATAAAATTTAAAAAAACTAACCAACAAACAAACAAAACAAAACAAAGCAAAACAAACAAAAAGCTTGTACTGAATATCACTCTAATAAACTACTGTGTATCTCTCTTGAACAAAACAATGATTCATAAAAAGATGTTACTCTAATTAGGACAAAATTAGTCCTTTGATTTCAGCAATGCAGGAACATACATTTATAGGTTGATTTACTCAAATACAAACAAATAATGTAAGACCAGAAAATTTTGTAAAATGAGTTTGTTCAAATAAATTTGTTTTCTCTTTCATTTTCTTTACAAGAGTTTCTTGACGTGAAAATGGCAAAAGCAATGTGCATATTAAGTTTCAAAATTTCTTGTTCCATATGATTACTCCTCCTGATCGTTTATTTCCTGCAAAATGCATCTAACAACATTCAGTTTCATCAGCTGTTTATACAGGGATCATTAATAGATATTCTTGTATTTTGGCAAACCTTTTTGCTGCTCAATAAGTCTCTTCCCGATCTCCAAGGTGGCGTACATTGAACCATTCAGAACAACATCAACTATTGTCCTCCAAGCATTGGGAGAAAGACGTTCCGAGGGAGATATAAAGTTAGCGGCAGCATTGTTGATGACGACATCTGGAAGTCCTCCGCAGATCTCTACAAACTGATCTACAGAGGATTTAACAGCTTCAGGATCTCGTATGTTAGCTGGGATCGGATGTACAGGGTTTCCGGTCTCCCCTGAGATCTCTTCCGATGTGCTCTTCAGAACATCTGGAGATCTGCAATTGGATGGAATTTTTAAAAAAAAACCTGATCAATGGAAAATGTGATTAGAGGACTTCTGCACAAGGACTAAATTTATTGAACGCAATGTTATTATGATTGTTGTGGCATGACACAGAGAGAGAGAGAGAGCGGATCTCTAGTGAATATTAAACGTATAGCAGATGCAGTATGGTTAAAGGGTACATGCCCCCTGTGCCCCCCCCCCCCCCCTTCCCTTCACCTTCACCCTTGGATTGGCTACTGATGTAATTCTAATTTCTTGTATCCAAATTTTTTTTCACTCAGTTGATAACAAAATACAAAATACATACATACAAGAGTACATACTACAACACGAGACTCATTAAACAAAAGTGCATTATAGCCTACAAATTTATTTTAAACTTGCCCAATATGGCAGCTAAGTTTTCCCAACATTTCCTGAAAATAACAGTTTGATTAACCTCCACTAAAAATGCAAACTGGAATCAATTGCTTGATCACATTAAAGATGGTCTAAAATAGAACTGTCCTATCCCCTAGCATTTGTTGCAAGTTAGTATATTAGCATTATCCTTTAGTTACTCTATGTACCTGCTGACAATAGCAACCTCAGCTCCAAGTTGAGACAGCATTCTTGTCATGGCCTTTCCCAGTCCGGTTCCTCCTCCCGTCACAAATACTTTCTTGCCCTTATAGCTGTCAGGAGGGAGCATAGGTGTCTTCACTGCTTTCAAGTTATCATACTTATCTGAAGGGTTGCTACTGGAGCACTGTGACGTCCCTGATAAACATCGCACTGATAGCTGTAATGAATACAGTGTAGATTTTAGAGAAAAATTTAAACATGAAACTAAGGAGTCTAATTAGTCTAATTGAGTATAGATTTTCTGAACTGTACTAAATCATAATTTCGAAGTGGTAATGACCCAACAAATGATTAGAAATCAAATCAAATCAGTGAAACAAATAATTTAACATTATATATTAATCACATAATAAAGGAAGTTATGATAATTATGGAGGAGTACCTGCTGTTATCAATTCGACATGTGTAACAAGTTACAACGTGTAATGTACCTATACATGAGTTTTGCACAATGGTTGTACAATCACTGCAGATAATGTACCTTCCACATATTTTGTAGAATATCTTCACACACACACACACACACACACGCACACACACGGAATTTTGCCCCCCCCCCCCATTTCATTTATTTCATATTTTTCCTTCTGCTGCAAGTAGAAGCCGTAAATCACCTAATTCTTTATTATGTTATTGCCACTCTTTTATTCTAAAAACTGCGTGTGTGCGTGTGTGAGTGATTGAATTTTCCCAGACATGTCTCAGTCATATTATTTAGATATGATAATGGTAGGGAACAATTACCTTCAATATCAATATTTTGAAAGAAAGAGGCAGGTTTAACTCTGCAGTTTATCAACACAGAACACTAATATTATTGTTTACCATCATTTAATTCTAATAAATTTAATTATGCATTAATTTAAACCCTATTATACAGTAGGCTTGCGGGTGCACCATGTGAGAGAGAGAGAGGATTGAGGAGTCCTGAAAAGGACTGTTTGTTATCTTTCTTAGCTTATAGTTCTAAGGAGAACTATAGCGCTTGGAGAGGATGAGATTGAGTATCCGTCGTCAGGAGTGGAGAATAGCTGGCGTGCGTGAGCTTAAGTCACCGGGGTGCGGACGTCGGGGGAAAATAGGTGACCGTGTGGGCTTGAGTCATAGGGGAGTGGACATGGATGGGCGGCTCGTTCGTCTGACTGTCCGTCTGGGCTGGAGTCTCCGGGTTGCGGACTTAGAAGAGTTTCGAATTCCTGAGTGGGGTGTACGTGCTATCGGCGAGACATGGTGCACCCGCAAGCCTACTGTATATCTACATCACCATGCAAGCCGACACTTACAAGCAGCATTTAAACCCTATTGTTCTCCAATTATAAAATCTTAAAATTTGACATGAGCTGGTTGATAACAAAAATTGTGCAAACCAAAACAAAATTGTAGAACAAAGTCTAACTTTTTTCAACACTGAACAAGAAGCATACCGGTATGCAAATTTGTTTGTCTATTTCACCATTTGCTCTCAAAGTCTCAACTCTCAAGTATACATCTCAATGTCCATTCAAGCTTGAGTTTACAGAACTGAAAAGCTTCAATTTAGGCCAAGATTTAAGTCTACACATATATTCTTTTGTCCCATATATTCCCCACTCCATCAACGATTATCAAATTTGACAGCCCTGGCCCGTCTTATAAAGACGTGCGATTGATCTAAATCAATCGCAAGTTCTCTAATCAATCACAAGTTTGCAATCCCCTAAAAAGAGTTTGCATCTCCTATCCATGTACATAGTTGCGATTAAGTTGTGATTAATTGCAACTGGTTATATAAGACAGGGCCCTAGTATAGATTCGATATAGGGAAATACAGTGTTTCAAGAATGAAATACATTTGTATTAATCATGTTCAGCATTTCATTCAAACTTCAAGTAACATACATTGGGGTACACAAAAATACCAAATACTTTGGACGTGGCCATTTATTCTCATGAATGGAGACCGTAATTCACTACATATTCAGGTAGAGCTACTACTATTTATAACATGAATAATAATGGGGATTGGGATCCCTTTAATGAAAATGAAATTTGCCCACCTTCCCCATGTTTAAGTGGGTAAATCTGAACTAATGCTGTCACTAGTCTAATTGTATTGTCTTTCCATTGGCATAGATGATTCTTCTTCTTCTAGTCGAGTACCGGCCTCTTAAATCAGGCGCGGATCCAGGATTTCTTGGGGGGGGGGGGGTAAAGTTCAAACAAAAAATAGAATATAAAATTGCCCAAAAGAAAAATAAGTTACAAGTCCATTTTAAGAAATGGTCTATCAAGTTTAACTGAAATTTAGGAGTAGTCTTGCAAAGCTCTGTTGTCATTAACATCTTCATTGACTTTTTGAAATGTAACTTGCCCTCTGGGAAAGTATGTGAGTGTGTGTGTGTGTGTGTGTGTATGTTTATGGGTGCATGAGTGCGTGCCTGTTTTGTAGTTTTAAGATGATATTATATTTTATATTGCTGCTTTTACTCTGTTAATTTTTCAAAAATAACAATAAAAAATGAAAAAAAAAATGAAAAAAAAAAAAAAAAAAAAAAAAATTTAAATTATGCGAGCCAAATATTGCTACGTAATTGTGACACCGGCAGTGGCAAAAACGTTTGGGGGAGGGGGTAGACCAAAAATCCCCATCACCCCACTCTTACATGCAGGCCCTGCTGAACGTTTCTCGGCGGGTGTCAAGGGGTGGAGCCCCCAGAAGCTCAGGGGGATAGGCATTTAATTACTGTCAGATGAGCATATTTTGATACCTTATTTGTGACACTGGCAGGACACAAATTGGGGTGTGGTCCAGGGGGCGGAGCCCCGGAAGCTCAGGGGTTTGTGGCCATAAATTACGGTCAGATGAGCTTATTTTAATACCTTAATTTGTGACACTGGCAGGACATAAATTCGTGTTGGGTCCAGGGGCGGAGCCTCCAGAAGCTCAGGGGTTTTATACATTAAATAATCGTCAGGTGAGCATATTTTTATACTTATTTGTGACATCGGCAGGTCACGAATTGGCGCGGGTCCCAGGGGAAGGAGCCCCCAAAAGCTCAGGGGTTTTAGGCATTTAATTACGGTCAGATGAACATATTTTGATACCTTATTTGTGATACTGGCAGGCCACTCATTGGCGTCAGGGGTTTTAAGCATTAAATTACCGTCAGATGAGCATCCAGGTGCCTGACTTTGGGCCCTTGGTGAAATCCAGGGGGCAGAGTACCTGGAAGCTTAGGGGTTTTAAGGCATTTAATCACGGTCAGATGAGCCATTTTTTTTAAAAAAATTGGGGGGGGGGGCGGAAATTGGGAAAATTACGTCGTCAGATATTTCGTTCAGTGGCTTGGGGGGGGGGGGGGGAAGACTTTTTTGTTGCTTTCTTTAGCACACATTCTTTGTTTTTGTTGCCAGGGGGCGGCCCGGCCCCGGGCCCACCCCACCCCCTGGATCCGCCACTGCCCACAACTGTAACTGTTCGATTTACATCTCTTGAGTATCTGAGATGAACTGAACGCTGATAAAAAATGAGTACTGTACCATCAGCTGACGATAATATTTTGTGCAACAACTCAATTCACGAGTCCTCTTGGATCCCTGTTCGAACAGGTCGATCTGCTCGGGTCGAGATTGTGTAGAGATCGTGTGGACGTCTTGGTCTAGTAGGGATCGCGTTGGGATTGTATGTAGATCGGAATGATCGATAAGAGATCGAAGTTGTGGTCGACAATACGTCGTGCAGGATTCGTGAATGGTCGAATGTGGGTCGTCAATGGTCTGGATATTGGGGGGGGGGGGGGGGGTTGAAGGCCATGGAGTTTCGGTAATCCTGTTAACGCTAATAGCAGTAGTATAGTAGTAGAAGTAGCAGTAGTAGTAGTAGTCATGGTAGTAGAAACAATAGGGCAGGGCTTCTCAAAGCCCCCCCCCCCCCCCCGATATCTAGATACTCGACTGATGACCTTCCACGTACCCCTACTTGATAAAGATTATCTAGACAAACGATTAACATTCTATTATTATCATCCCACCGTGGTGTCTTTGCACGCACACCTTCAAAGTCTACATCTATTATTTACTGTATCATATTTATAACTTGCTATATTTATAACTTAACTAGCTAAGTATGATATAACAGAGTGAAGATCATTGTAAATATACATTTAGATTCTATAATCTTTTAAAGTTATTTATGGAAAGAGGTTCCCAGTCTCAATTATGTAAATGGTTGTCATGTGTAGAGAATACATTAAAGAATGCTGGGCTAGGAAATGTGTGGCAAATGCAAGGAGATGGATTCAGTAATACATGGATTCTTCATGCTCTTAAGCTCAGGTTGACTGACATGTCAAAGCAAGAAATTATGTCAAATATGTTTGGTCAAATCGCATTTGTGTTAACTACCAAATTATCAAGAACGAAATTTTATTTGAAAAGTATCTGGTAAAGTTGAATAGAAGAGGTGCATTCAGGCGCGGATCCAGGGGGGCGAGCGGGCCTTGCCCCCCCCCCCCCCCCCCCCCCCCGCAAAAAAAAAAAAAAAAAGAGAAGAAGGGAAAAGAAGGGAAAGGGAAAGAGGAGAGAAAGGGAAAGAAAGAAGAGGAAGAAGAAAAGAAAAGGGGGAAGAAGGAGATCGGGGGCCGAAAGGGCCTTGCCTTCCAGGCTGTTGCCCCCCCCCCCCAGTCAAAAAAAAATAAGAGAGAAGGAAGGAAAGGGAAATAAAAAAAGAAAAGAGGAGATACTGGCGTACTGGTAGGGGGGGGGGGGGCTTGGCGGAATCAAGTTCAAACGTGGTTTATTTCTAATTCCATAACGGTGGATTACAAATAATGCTAAAATGACATCATTTCCTGACTTTTTAGTAAATTATACTTTTGTATGTATTTGTTGGAAAATGACGAATTCCTAAATTTACAGCCAGGCAAGAAATATGATTCTTAAGATTCCTACATGTCAGGGCCCGAGGAACGGCGGGGATTAGGAGCCTCGAGCCCCCCCCCCCCCCTCCCACTTTTTTTGAAAAAGTATATTAAAGAGAAATAAAAAAAAAAGAGCAAGAAAGAAAGAATAGTCAACTGCCAGTGTCAAAATGAGGCATCAAACTATGCTCATCTGACCGTGATTAAATGCCTAAAACCCCTAAGCTTCCAGGGGCTCTGCCCCCTGGATTCCACCTAGGGCCCTAAGACGGGCCCTTAGATGCTCATCTGACGGTAATTCAATGCCCCGAACTCCTGATTTTGAAGGGCTCCGCCCCTGGACCCCACGCCAAATTGTGTCCTGCCAGTGGCACAAAATAATAAGGTATCAAAAAAAATGTTCATCTAAACACCCCTGAGCTTCCGGGGGCTCCACTGCCTCAAACCCACCAGGGGCCCTATGGCGGGCCCCTGAATGCTTATCTGACCGTAATTATTATGAGCTTCAGAGGTCGGACAAGGTATCAAAATGTGTTTATGTGACCGCAGTCGCGTAGCCAAGGGCGGGGGGCGGTTCCCCCAAAATCGCTGGCCTAAAAAGGACGAAGGAAGAAAAGGAGCTGACGAAGAACATCTTTGAAATTCAGACAAGGATTAAAAGTAGAAAACGGTACAACGCATCGTCTTCTTTCTCTAATAATTGAATGAATCTTGAAAGCATCTGCGCTTTGCGCGGGAGGGGAGAATCTGAATTCAGACGAGGATTAATAGTCGAGAAATGTACAACGAATCGTCTTCTTTCTCTAATGATTTAATGAATCGTAAAAGCATCCGCCTTTCGCGCGGGAAGAAATAAACTGAATTCAGACGAGGATTATTTAAAGAGTCGAGAACTGTACAACAAATCGTCTTATTTCTCTAATGATTTAATGAAACTTAAAAGTTTTCGCGCTTCGCGCGGGAGAGGGGGGGGGGGACCTGAATTCAGATGAGGATTAAGAGTACTGAACAGCGAATCGTCTTGTTTCTCTAATGATTTAATGAAACGTAAAAGGGAGGGGTAAAAACTAAATTCAGACGAGGATTATTTTCGAGAACTGTACAGCGAATCGTCTTGTTTTTCTAATAATTTAATGAAACGTAAAGCTTTCGCGCTTCGCGCGGGAGGGGAGAACCTGAATTCAGACGAGGATTAAGAGTCGAGAACTATAACGAATCGTCGTCTTGTTTCTCTAATATCCTCTCTTTATCCTCGTTTGAATTCAGTTTCCCCCTCCCGCGCGAACCGCGGAAGCTTTGACGTTTCATTATTACAGAAAGAAGACGATTCGTTGTACCGTTCTCGAAAATAATCCTCGTCTGATTTCAGTTTCCCCCCTCCCGCGCGAAGCGCGGAAGCTTTGACTTTTCATTTAATTATTAGAGAAACAAGACGATTCGTTGTACCGTTCTCGAAAATAATCCTCGTCTGATTTCAGTTTCCCCCCCTCCCGCGCGAAGCGCGGAAGCTTCTACCTTTCATTAAATCATTAGGGAAAGAAGGCGATTGGTTGTGCCGTTCTGAATAACATATATTAGTTTCTAATAAGTTAAGTGATAGTTTATTTGCATGATTAGTCAATACACAAAGCTCTCTATTTACAGTTTCTAAAAGAGTATTTTAAGTTTCTATGAGAACAGAATACACTTGTATCGTCTGCAAATAGCAAAAAAGAAAAAGTCTGGAAAATCATTTACATATAAAATAAAAAGCAGGGGACCCAAAAGGGAACCTTGAGGTACTCCACACGTGACGGGTATATCTGAACAAATTTCGCCGAGCTGCACAAATTGCTGTCTGTTACTACGATAACTTCTAAACCATTCGAGTGAAGGTCCACATAGCCCATAATAAGAGAGCTTGTGCAACAAAATATGATGGTTCACCGTATCAAAAGCTTTGGAATAATCCAAAATATATACCAACCGTATGGAGGCGTTTATCAAGTGCCGAAGATATTTTGTCTAAAAGACATAAAACAGCATGAGAAGTTGTGTGTTTCTCGCGAAAACCAAACTGAGAATTTGAGAAAAGTTGACACAACTACAAAAACTTTATCAATCTAATATAAACAAGTTTTTCCAAAATCTTGGAGAAGACAGTAAGTAGAGAAATAGGTCTATAATTACCCGTTCCCTTTTTATATATAGGCACAACTTTAGCTATTTTCATTTTTTAGAAACACTTCCATGCATTAAAAACAAGTTATAAATGTGAGTGAGAGGTACGACTACAAATGAAATTACTTCTTTTATCAAATCATTAGTTATACTGTACCATCATATCCAGGGCTCCTTTTCCTTTTCAAGCCACTTACAACATCTATAACCTCAGAATTCACTACAGGAACAAAAAATAAAGTCTTTTCATTTGGACTGGCTAAATAATTTCCATAGGTTTCCTGTTTATCAGGTATGGAGCTAGACAGAGTAGCACCAATGTTAGAAAAATATTCATTAAATGCTTCACATATAAAATTCTTGTCTTCAACAAGACCATCCTTCCAGTTGAGTTTTGTAATACTCTGTAGTTTAGGATTGGTTTTCAAGACATTTCGAATAACTTTCCATGTTTCTTTAACATTGTTACACGTAGACAGGAATTGAAAATAATAATAGTCTTTCTTACCTGGTTAGGAGACCGAAGCATGCAACTGATTGTCCCTGGTCTGATACATCTTGCTATTTGGGACGCCATTGTCTCAACTGTTTTTGTTTCTTAAATTAAGGGTCGTAGGATAAAGGAATTCTAGAGTCTTTGGAGCCCTTGGCTTTGGAGTCCCTCTCGCTCAAGTCTCTCTCCGATGAATAATTCTATGCGCACGACATGTGCGCGCACGTAATAAAACAGACTGGCGAAAAAACATTTACCACGCCCACCCAGCACCTCCTCCGCCCCTCCCACTTTTACAAAAAGTACCAAACATTATTCAACTGAAGAGGGGGGGGGGGGCTTTGGGGGCGGGGGGGGGTAGAGAATTTAAAGATGTTTTGATGTGGACCAAAAACAAAAACAAAAACAAAAACAAAACATGCAAAATAAGCAAGCAAACAAATCATGATCGAGTACAATTCATCTTCTACATTATTGCAAGTTTGCTACAGTCAAGGACACTCTACACTGTAAAATGGTTAAAATTCTTTTAAAGAGGAAGTGAGAATTTAAAACAACATCAACATATAAAAAAAGTCTGATCTAGTTACAATTAATCAGACAAATAAAAAAAATGCAGCATATTTCATTTGGAATTGAATCAAGTTATTCTAAAAAAAACCCAGACAAACATATCTTGAAATCAAAATGAATTACACTCTTTTGAAGAGTAAACAAATAAATAGTGTCATCGTTTAAGATTGCGCTTTCAGTTGCATCGCTACACAGCTTTGGAATAACCTACCACTAGACATAAGATAAGCCTATCTGTTGCTGTTTAAATTGATCTATTTATAATCATTATCATTTTCAGGTTTGGACTTTCATCAATAAATAAAATTTCCATTCAATATGCATTAATTAACCTAAAGCAAAATTATTCTCTTTACCGTACCTCAAAGTGTACAATAAATGTTCCTGTATGATTATGAGCTGTTGAAATCAATGGTTTCCAACAATATTTTGGAATTACTTTAAATATTACCACTGGATTGAGTTTATAATTGGAAGATAATATATACCGGTAGTCATACACATAAGGCAATACTTGATTAGAGATCTACTTGAGTACAATTGCTGCAAGACAACCATATAATACACTTCATACACAAAATATGATCAAATAAAAACATTAAACAATATATAATCAGGTTTTCAGATTCTGATATCAAAATGAATGTTAGCAGCTGGATTACACAGTTCAAACTGTGACTACAATGACGTTTGAACTATTATATTTTCTTTGGTCATCAAATGTCTAAATAATTGTAACATTATGTATTTCAGTATGCTTAAACTTATATTTTATTTCATTTGTTATTGAATAATTGCTTCTTTATTTCAGGTACAGTACAAGCTTGTGTACATTTATGTGCTGTTACTTTGCACTTACCACCATCTACAACATAAGTACTCTAGCTGGTAAGGGATAGAAATAGCCGCCTGCCCATGTGCATAGAGCAGGGTGGTATTCTGAACATTGTTGTAAGTTGTGGTTATCTTTTGTTGTATCTCACAGAGATAACACAGCGCTTATATTGTTGGAAGTTGGTATTCTGAACATCATTTTATCCCTGTGTTATCTCTTGAAGGACTGCCTCTATCTTATCTTTGACCACTGTTGACACGCTCATTTGTATGGACCCTACCAATAAAATGTGTTTTATATAAGCATGATAAGTAGGTCAACCAATAGGAATACTTTTTGCCATATCTGAAGATGCGCCTAGCTCATACTAATCTTGGGCGTAATTAGTTATTTGAGCGCTTATTACGCACGTTATCATGCGCTGTGGCATGTGGATATGTGGATCATGAAGATAAATGACGCTTTCACTATATTGATTAAGATGAGAGCATTAAAATCGTCATATCCTAGCATGTAATTTCTTAGAAAGTTCTCATCTGTGATGTTTCTGGTCAACACACAATCTTCTTCTAACTCGTCTATTGGCACGAAGTTGGTTCTGGCCAAGAAATATTGCCGCCATATATCGCCACGAAAGATACAACAACCCCCTACCTGTTGTAAATATTGTTGTAAATACCATGAAAGATAAGATAAATAAAAGATACAACAATTTTCAGAATACCAATTATCTCGACATATTATCTCTCGTGCGCATAATTATGCAAATGAGGATCAAACGCCACTTTATTAATAATACGCACAATTACAAGCGCACCAAACTATGAGCGCAGGCGCGGCCAATGAGATGAGAGATAAGATACAACAAAAGATAACACAAAAGTTACAACAATGTTCAGAATACCATCTTTATCTTATCTCCAAAGATACAACAATATTAGAGATAACACAGGGTTCAGAATACCGCCCCAGGGTATCAGGTAATAGTTTGGGAATGTTATTTCTGACCATGCAGTTTCATCAGTTTGCTACTGATTTGTTGGTCTAGAAACATATCTATTGTATGATAATCAATTAATGAGCTTTTTCTTCTCTCAAATTAATTCCATTATCAGAACTCATCAGCTTTCACAATAAACATTAATTTAATTTCAAATCATGTAATAACTAATAAACACTTATGTTTTAAAAATATGTTTATGCAAAATAATATTTCAGAGCGTTGTTAGCTTTTCGCAAAAAGCATCTAGTAATTGCTTGGCTGAAGTTATCTTTCTAAAAGAAATTCCCTTAGGTAAGCAAAGCCATTCTCAATTGAAGCTATAATATTTCTTGCCATGTCATTCTAAATAAATTCTCATTATTCAACACCGTGAAATGGCATCAAGCAAATGCAAAACGAAATTAATTCATTCGGATATTTCATATGCTTTTTATAACTATGATTCAGGATAATCTTTTGAAATTAAAAAAGCACATTATCCATGTTATCATAATTCAGAGAATGGCAACAAGATTGATATTTTGTGCATCATCCACAATTTCATGACATTCCATTCTGATCATACTGATTACAGTCAGACAGTCATATATTCAATCATGTGACAGTCATGTGACAGTCATGCGGTATCATGTGACAGTCATGTGACAGTCATGCGGTATCATGTGACAGTCATGCGGTGGTTTCATTTGGTGCCCTTGGTCTTCCTGATCAGTGATTCAGCCAGATCCCAGTCGTCTTTACTCAGCTGAAAAAAGGAGAAGAAAAAACATGTCAATGGATAAAAGGATAAATCAAAGTACCTCCCAAAAGAGATTTTATTTTACCAGTAAAAGTCATTTAAAGGCACCTATTTTACTTTCTTTTTATCAACTAGAAGTCTAGAACCAAGTGAAATCTCAGAGTACCTATCTAGGAAATGCATGTTCTTTCTTCCTCTCTTTACATAAGTGGAATACTAATATGAAATTACATGACTTCTTGTCCTTTTCAACTCAAGAGGAAATAACTAAAAGCACACATTTTCACTTCCAGTTCACTAATTATGAAAACCAGCACATAACCTCTTACCTTAAGGTATCCACTGAACATTCCTGAAGCCTGTAGCGTAAGCCCACCGTCCATGATAAAGTTCTCTCCATTGAACCAGCTTGCATAGTCACTGCAGATGTAGGATGCAAGGTTGGCTATCTCCTCTAACTCTCCTAGGCGACCAATGGGAGTGGCTGAGATCTTGGTTTGCAAGGAATCCCCTGTAGGATCAAGCCTGCTCATGGCTCCCTGGAACAATCAATACAAAAGAGACAATCTTTGAGGCAAAACTTTGAAAAGCTCAACAGTACCAATAATAATCAGCTTTATAATGAATTAGGGTGGAATAAAGCCACTTTTGAATACTACAGATTCAGATTTAATCTTCACTAATGTCAATAAGCATCCCATAAGCTACAAATGAAATGTTTATTTTTAAGTCTCATATTAAATTAAAGAACATTTTGAGAGATCTTTTATAGGTGGCAGGATAAGCAATATCTACAAAGTGATACAAAGTGAGATTTGTATCAATCAGTCTTTGATGTGGCCGTGGAAGCAATAAGTTAATTATGTTACAATGACTGTTAGATATTACTCCAGTATCCTAAACTCCAGGGCAACATGAAAAGAAAATTACACCATCCCGGGCCAACCTTACTCAATGGTCAAGTTTTCTTGCATTATATCTGTCTAATATGACCGGTGCCCCCTGCCCACCCCCAACATCAGTATCCCAAAAGTCCAGACCATGCTACATGTATATAACAATGGTAAGCATAACTGTGAACTTTTTATCCTACTATATTTGTATATATTTTTAATACTATATCACACTAATTACCTCTGTGTAGGCTGGTCCTGGAGACATAGTGTTGAAGCGCAGCCCGTACCGGCCCCATTCTACCGCTAAACATCTAGATGAGGGCACAAGACATACATATCGGAATGATTTTAAAGTTTGAATTAACACTAACTCATCGATATTCATTCTTTTTCATTCATGACAATGTATTTTTTAATACTACTGGTATCTGTTCATGAATACCAGAGTGGTATTTCTAATGCTCTTAGATGTTTTATGACACATAGCAGAATGTTGAATTTCAGATTTTCATGTAAAACATGTGGCTTAATATATACCAAAACATGAATTCTGGAAACCCATTTTATGTATTAATAATATAATAATAATAATAGTTTGTCCTTATATAGCGCATTTCAGGACCGCAGGCCCTTTCAATGCGCTTTACAGATATATATTGTTACCCCGGTCATCGGATTCATGCTTACTCGCACACAAGGTATGCCCATTCTCCACTCCCTGGGGAGCATTCCGGCCAGTCGCCATTTTTACAAGCGCCATTGCTAATCAAACCACATTAGCTTTCGCATCCTACCGGGTACCCATTTAACACCTGGGTGGAGAGTGGCAAATGTAGATCAATGTCTTGTCAAAGGACATATAGTGCCGCGGTTATTTTACTTGATACATAATTATGCTTGGCCAGGTAATGCTCTAGTAGGTATATGAACTACATGCAATTAAATAAATTAACTCATGGCTGTGCATTCATGTAAGTGACAGGATGGCTTAACAATCACCTGTAATGTTCTCTATACCACTCTTACCAGCTGCACTGGGAACTACAAAGGGTGATCCATATGAGCCATAGGTGGTACTCACAGTCAAGAAGTTTGCTCCTGGCAGAAACAAAGATGATAAAAACAAAATCTTAAAAATACTACTTGTAAAATATGCAATTCTCTTCTTAGCCCAGTAAATGTAATATTCCAATGACCACCCTCCCCTCACTTTGTTTAAAAAGTGATATCATAATCATTCTGGGGATTGACCCTGACAAGCAACTTTGCTTTTGTTCTTTCCCATCCGCAAATTGATTTAGCAGGTTTACCCATCATTTCCCCCTTTGTTGATTGTGTTTTCTTTGTATGTTTGTTTCTTTGTGTATTTCCTTGAATTTCATGAAATGTACATGTATATGAAATGTACATTATTTTGTATTTTCCATATTTGTTTTTACTGTAATGCTGAAATTAAAAGAATGAATGAATGAATGAAATAATATGTCTACATTTATGCAATCAAAAGTAATTAAATATTCAAATTCCAATCCAGCTGAGCTGAAAATAATACAAATCATCGGTAGGCCTATCCTACAGATTTCTCTGAAGTGACAAGGCTTCTATATACACACATGGTGAGAATCATTGAAACTGCTCTTTCCCCCATCAATACTATCTGAAAAAGCATTAATAAAAAGTTTTATTACTTTCCTGAAAGGGGGTGGGGCTCAAAAAGCTTGATTTAATGCGAATGAGTCAATAAATTCTATTCTATTCTATATTCTATTCTATGCATTAAGCTAATAAGTCAGGCAGACTGAATTTACAGGAATACTGGTAGTATACATAACAGATGAAAATTCACCTTGCCACATTGTGAGGGGTTACACAATCAAACCTGCCTTAGTGGCCACCTCTCTATAGAGACTACTATCGATAGTAGTGACCTACATGCATGTGTTTTACTATAGAAAGAAATACATGTGTGGTGACAGCTGGTACACCTCTCTTTAGTGGCCACTTCAAGATTAGACCTTGTGTGGCCATTGTAAACAGGTTTGACTGTAGGAATTACACACCTTTCTGCTCCTCGATGAGTCTCTTAGCGATGTCTAGCGTCACATACATTGTTCCATTCAGTACCACGTCGACGATCGTAAACCAAGCATTGGGAGACAGTCGTTCTGTAGGAGCCACAAAGTTAGCAGCAGCATTATTGACGACGACATCTGGAAGTCCCCCGCAGATCTCTACAAACTGATCTACAGAGGATTTAACAGCTTCAGGATCGGATCTCGTATGTTAGCTTGGATTGGATGGACAGGGTTTCCGGTCTCAGCGGAGATCTCTTCAGCTGCCTTCTTTAAAACATCTACAGACCTGTGAGCACATGGAAGAAAGGAAGCAAGATTAATTTGGAGGACAACCTCTACCGGTACTTGTTTGCAGTTAACACTATTAATCTATCATTGTACAATGAGTGCTATGAGAATGAGTTCTTTTGCTGCATGGTAGAGAATTCATGAACTGTATTTTGCTATATATCATAACAAATACAAAGTGAATGAAATGAATCTTTCACTCTTTATATCTTTTAAGAACATTTTTTTAAAATCAGCATCAATCTAATGAAAATAGTATCTCCTGTTATACCATCCGTCTATGATAGACAATTGTTTTTCTGAATTTAATCATTAAACAAACCAACATTGTTATGATGCCTCTGTACAAATTTCTTGGTAGAATAATAGGGTCTATTTCAATCAATTCCCCCCCCCCCCCTCCTCATCAGTCATCACAGCAACATTCATGGAGCTTTTGTAATTCATTCAGGATAAAAATCCAACCAGTTCTAGCATACACAGCTATTGAACATAGCTCTTTGCTACATGGAACAAGGCCAAGCATTAGAGACTTTTTATAACAGTTTTGTAAGATGGCAACAACATTTGTAAAAAATATGTTTTCACTCCTTGAAAACTAAGTTCCTGATAAGTTAAAGATGTAGAGGATCTCCTCTCTGAAAGGTTCTTAACTAGCATACCTGCTGACAATGGCAACCTCAGCTCCAAGCTCAGAAAATGTTTTAGTCATAGTCTTGCCAAATCCTGTTCCTCCTCCCGTCATATATATTTTCTTGCCCTTATAGGTGTCAGGAGGGAGCATAGGTGTCTTCACTGCTTTCAAGTTATCATACTTATCTGAAGGGTTGCTACTGGAGCACTGCGGCGTCCCTGATAAACATCGCACTGAAAGCTATTATGGAAGAAAAAACAAAAACAGGAAGATATAAAAGATGCAGAAACCAATAAATCAAATCAAATCAAATCAAAAGAAAGCACATTGTTTTGGTTGCAGCTGTGGGTATAGGACCTGCTACTATAGTGCTTTCTTCACTCTGTAAAATTGGGAATGGGATTTAATCTATCTCAAACATGGGTCAGCATTTTACCATTCAGGTACGTTCATAGAACAAAGAGATAAGAGAAAGATTCAGCTGCAAAACCAATGTTTGGAAGAATCCTTTTTTTCCTTTTCTTTTGCTTTTATAACTCATCTCCATGCAATAAATAGAAGATTGATTTAGTGTAGCCTGAAATGGCCTAGGCTAAACAGAGCTAGCCTATTGTTGAATACTCACTCACTTGCCTGGCTCAGCTAGGCTCAAGTCAATGAGGAAAAAAGAAAGGAGCCCAAGCCAAGTAATAAATTCAATTCATTTCAAGACTTTATATTCCTGCAGACTCAGCTTCAAGAGCCGAGGTCCATGTAACAATATTTACATAATACATGTAGACCTAGATATAAACAATGAACAAAAATAAGAGGGGAACATGTTATTAAAACAAGTGAGACTCTGAATTGATCTCACTCGCGTCACTGACTAAAACTTAACTCCATGTCCAGGGAGCTACGAGGCCGATCGCCGATGCCAAATGCACCGGCATCGATCGGCGTCGCGTCGGAGCTGCCTGGACTCGAGTTAGCTAACTCAAAGCAAACTCAGAGACTATGGGTGGTATTCTCATAAGTTAAGCCGGGACTAAGTCCAGACTAAACAAGAATTTTAGTTCACACTTCTATGGAATGCTAGGTTTCATCTTCCTCCTTCAATATTCATGACAAAGATAATCTACCAAAGACTTTGTTGAAATTCAGTTCATACTCAAATTATCTTTTTCTTCCCATTTCATTGCAAAATTAATTTTTTGGACACTTGTCATTGAAGGATTAAAATAATCTTTACAGGGTAAATTAGTTTGCAACAGGCACTCCATAAAAGTGTGAACTAACTAAGTACGCGCCAGTGGCGGATCCAGGGGGGGGCCGAAACGGCCGCGGCCCCCCCTATTGGCGGCGCAAAAGGAAGAAAAAAAGAGGAAGAAAAAAGAGAAAAAGAGAAAGGAGAAGAGGAGGAAAAGAAAGGAGAAGAGAAAAGAAAGGAGAAGAGAAAGGAAAAAAGAAGAGAAAGGAAAAGAGAAGAGAAAAGATAAAGAACAAAGCCCCCCCCCCCCCTCCCGGAGGGACCGAATTTGTGTTCCCAAAATTTCAGATAAAGAGGTACTTTTCACGCAACAAATTCCGGCCCGTAATCTTTTTGGTGATTTTCTGTGTGTAAACCCCCATAACCCCCCTAACCCCCCCCCTATTTCATTTTTTTATTTTTTTTTATAAAAAAAAAAATATTCCCATGGCTGACCTATAAAAGGTGACCTTACCCCCCCCCCCCTTCCCCCCAAGGGAGCAAAATGTCAAATTTTCAAATTTCGAGACCCAACAAAAAAAAAAAGAAAAGTGTCCTCTTATTAATTGTCGGCAGGGGCGGCGATCCCAGGGGGACGGGGGACACGTCCCCCGGAAATCCGAAAAAGTACAAAAAATTAATAGCAAACACTGACTAAAGACTGCAGCACACTTATAAGCTCTGGAGGGCCCAAGAGTACAGCGTTTAGACTAATAAAAATGAAAAAAAAAATATTCTCGCTCGTTCGCTATAGCATCCCTTAATATCCCTAAACATACAAGTAAATATTGTAGAAAATCTATATTCAATTGGTATCACGTAAGCACAGTTTACACTGTATATTTACAAGATTAAGAGTTATAGAAATAGATCAGTGCTAGTGTGCTACAAAAATGAATATTCCGCTTGCTCTTTTCAGTAAGGAGTAATACAAGATATTAAGTGTATATATTTGCCAGGCTGATAATTTAACATCGGTAGAGCAGTGGTCTTGTAATCCGGTGACCCGGGTTCGAAACCAAGTCAAGGCGCTAGTGCCCTTTTGGAAGGCATTATTCTTCATTACCAGGCCCCTCGGAGAGGACCTAAAGCCGTCGGCCGTCTGGTTACTTACTAACAAAACAAGCATTTATGCTTTCTTAGCAGTCAGGTAAAATACCCGCTACCAGGCTGATATTTGCCATTTCAACTCCCATAGCGATATCAATATACATGTATATGACAGAGGTCTAGAGTGGGAAATAGAAATCCTAAACTGATATTTACAACCCTTCGCGACTACCTACAAGTTACCAGCAAAGTAAAAGAGGTATATTGATTGGTTTTATAATATAGTTTTGCTAAGGAAAGTAATTTTTTAATACAACAAAACCTGTGAGGGGGTAGTCAGTGCCGTCACCTTCGCCCCTCTCGTACTGATGGGGGCTTGGGGCAGTTGCCCCCCCCCCCCCCAAAAAAAAAAAAAAAAAAAAAAAAAAAGAAGATTCAAACGTATTTCTCACTTTTTTGTAAATTATACTGTCGTATTCGTTTATGGAAAATTCCCAAATTTACAGTGAGCCAAAAATATGCTTATTTAGAAGCCTACGTGTCAAGGCCCGCGGATCGGGAGGCTCGAGCCCCCCCCCCCCCCCCCCACCCTCACTTTTTTGAAAAAGTGTCGCAATATATGCTCGTCTGACCGTAATTAAATACCTAAAATCCCTGAGCTTGCGGGGGATCCACCCCTTGGGTCCTACAACGGACCCTATAAGGCGGGCCCCTGGATGCTTATCTGACGGTAATTAAATGCCTAAAACCCCCGAGCTTCCAGGGGCTCTGCCCTTGGACCCCACTAAGGGCCATAAGGAGGGCCCCTATATGCTCATTTGACCGTAATTTAATGCGTAAAACACCTGAGCTTTAGGGGGCCCCTTGACCCCACGTCAATTAACGACCTGACAGTGTCACAAATAAACGCCTAAAACCCCTGAGCTTCAGGGGGTCCACCCCTTGACCCCCTTTGGGGCTTTTCCCCTGGACCCCAAGCAGCAAAGGCAATATAGTCTCAAACAAATCTACACATTCAAGCTCACTCACACATGATATATTGCGACACTTTCAAGGCTACTTATTATTTCAATTTCATGTTTATACAAACGGCAACAGTTTCAATATAAAATGTAAGTTCTTCCCACTTAAATCATTGGTCTGGAAACAATTATTTGCCCATTGTTGCATATTGTATTACATTTCCACTAACGATGAATTTACATTGTAATGCAATTTTCACGTTTCCCAGGTTTATTTAGGAGAATAGAAGATTGATAGTGTTAAGTTGTTCGATAACATCACTCAATTCGATTTGATTGGAGATATATCTCACTAAAGGCTATTATACTCTCAAACAAATCTGCACCATTAAACTTCAAGCTCACTCACACATGATAATGCGACACTTTCGAAGCTACTTATTATTTCGAGTTCATGTATATACAAACGGCAACAGTTTCAATATAAAATGTAAGTTCTTCTCACTTAAATCATTGGTCTGGAAACAATTATTTGCCCATTGTTACATTGTAATGCAATTTTCAAGTATCTTAGATTTATTTAGGAGAATAGAAGATTGATATTGTTTAAGTTGTTCGATAACATCACTAAATTTGATTTGATTGGAGATATATCTCAGTAAAGGCTATATAGTCTCAAACAAATCTACACCATTAAACTTCAAGCTCAATCACACATGATATATTGCGACACTTTCAAGGCTACTTATTATTTCAAGTTCATGTATATACAAACGGCAACAGCTTCAATATTAAATGAAGTTCTTCTCACTTAAATCATCGGTCTGGAAACAACAATATTTGCCCATTGTTGTATATTATACAACATTTTCCATAACGATGAATATACATAGTAATGTAATTTTCAGGAAGACCATACTTGTCACTTGTTATATTTGTTATATGATACTAAAGCAAATCGTTACGCTTTAATCGATAGGATAATGTGAATAACGTGTCGAATAATAACATCATTACGTGCTATTATTAACCGGACTAGACATGTAAACAACAATTTAAACATGCATACACTTTTGCCAGCAAGCAAGTTTTTCAACAAAGAATACAAAATGTGAACAACGTTTTACATAAATAGTCAGGACAGATTAGAAGATGCTTTAAAGCATGCCCTATAGTTGAACTGTAACAGTTGTCTTCTAAAGTCTTCCATATATAAATTTAAAGAAGGTCAATAATCATTATGAAGGTTGACACATCAATATATATTGTGCATACATGTAACAATTTGAAAATATTTTTTCCTTGGGGGGGGGGAGGGCGTGGGCAATTCAGAAAGGGACCGATATGTGAAAAATTGGGTACTATAGGATTTCCCGGCCAAATTCGCGAGTTTGTCATTCAAATTCATTTGTCTTGCGTTCAAATTCGACGGTTTTAGTGCTGTCGGGTATATCTCGGGTTTATATTCCTTTTTCTAGATTTCAAATCTATGAAGTTTTCGTTAGAATCTATGTATGTTTCATTCCAATTAATAAATAAATTTCTTCTTTCGCTATTTGGTCATTCGATTTAGCGCAACACGATTTTCTGACATCGCGACGGTGTACTTTTAGCATTCTAATTCATTTGTAGCATTCAAATTAGCACTTTGTGCACTAAAATTAATGGTCAATATACATTTCACGTTGTTTAAACACTTTTTATAGCTCATTCTTTTTCTTTCAAGATCGTTTTTTCATGTGTATTTCATCCTATTTTATTTTCTTGCATTCTCTTTATATACTTTTAGATTTATCAGATATTCATCAGCCTTTAAGTTTGATTGTTAAAAAAAGACTTACTGTACATTTACGGACTTGATGGTCTCAATATTTGTGTAAATTTTCATGTAAGGAAGTTGTTTGTCTTGTGTTTCATCATAAATTTATCACAATTTCATTATGGAGGAAGGGTACAATATTGTGACTGGGGTAGGTGTTTTCGTGGTATATGAACATGTC